ATCCGCTGCAGGAGCATCGACGGATAGATGCTGTTCGACCGACTGAATCGACGGACAGATTCGAGTTGGCATTTCGGGAATTTCGCAGGAGTCGGCGCGTTTATATTGACCGCCCGAAGCGACATCGACTACGGTTACTGGATGGGTTGAAATTTCGTCCTTGTGCTGATGGAATTCGCTGACTTTCGTGAGACACGGACGCGTGTTCTCGCATGTGTCACGAGTGACCTCGCATTTGACGAAAAGCAGGAGTTCGTTGACTTGGTGAAATACGGACGCGTGTTTCTTCGAGTGTCACGACTCACGTGGAATTAAACGAGGAGCAATCTACAGTTACAGAGCGACGGACAAGTTTGGCGCTATGCGGAAGATTCGGCACGCTAGCTTGCAGCGGTGTGAATAACGTGGTGTTACTGTGTGGATACAGTACACGACGGTTGGAGTTGTTGATTGTCGGCGAAGGATTCGCTGGAGACAAGGAAGCTGTGGTGCGGTAGTATCCCTACTGCCCGTTTGGTTATCTGGGTAATTCAACCCAACTTCGACAGCTACGATCGACGGCGATCGTTTCGACGCGTTTCGACCGTTGGATGGAGTTTCTTGAAGAAGCTCGAGATTCTCAACAGTGGTGGCTTCACTACTACGAGATTCAATTAGAGTGTGTGTTGTTTTTTTATTTGTGTGCTTATCTAGAAGGGGGGAGAGTGTAAGGGATGCGTAATTCCTTACTGAGGCTTGCTACAGGGCGTACGACTCGAACAGTCCCGAACCAGCGATAGGGTTCCAGACCTTTCAGTTCGAGCCTCCTGGGTCTTTCCGGACCTCGCTACGATACATCGAGGCCCTTCGATACCCTTCCTGAACCTTCCGATCCTACGTCCAGGATCACCCTAGGCTTTCTATATATTGTATTGTCTTTCATTTTATTGTCATTCACTCGTTCACAGTTTCGCCATTGCCCTCCGCGCTACTCGGCAGTCCCATTCATAACAGGGGGCATAATTGTTATGAATTATAACTCAGAGTATAGCGCAGAATACTATAGGGGAAAGTGATTACGGCATTCTCCTGAATAATGAGACCTAGGGCTTATATAGTGCGAGTTGACCAGGTCGAAATGTCGAGGGTTAGACCAGTCGAGGGCTCGACAGTCCGAGGGTGACGGGGTCAAAACGGATTCGGGGCGACTCGGGATCAGGTTGGGGCCGAAAAGGTCGTCAAGGGCTGGTTTGGCGCGATAAACCAAGGCCGAGCCTGCGGACCCGCACTGTTCGCGGTACTCGCTGTGGCGAGTCCCTGTAAGGAATCGGAATTCCTTACACTCTCCCACCTTCTAAAGGAAAGCCCTCCCTTTATCGAGGTCGAACCTTTTATCAAATTTAATCCCCGAAGTGACTGTAAGTCTTCAGCCCTGTGACGAGCGTAATGATTACGCCGGCCTGACGAGGTCTTGAGGTCGAACTGAAATCGATGGTCAGAAAGCGTCGAAACGATCGCTTTTAATCGCCGCCGTCGAAGATGGTCGAATTATTCTGATGACCAAACGGGCAAGGATAAATACTCCAACGAAAAGACAGTGAACAGTGAAACCGATTGATGATGGCGCATGTCCGTCGAATTTCTTGAAATGACGACGGGCGAATATTGTGATGGTCAATGAATATGAAGGACCCGTTCGTCAAATGCGAGGTCGTTCGAGTCACATGCGAGAGCACGCGTCCGTGTCCCACGAAAGTCAGCGAACTCCATCAACGAAGTGACGAAATCAGGCGCAGAAGCGTAACGATGACGAAATCGGTCGCAAATGGTTAACGGAACACGCCGGAAAGTCGTCGAATAATTGCAGCACAGCTGCCCTTCTCCCCTCTTCAAAAGAAAACAACTCCCAATTCTCAGGTAAAACCGAAGAAAAACAAATGCTCCGGGGGCGTCGAAATATGCCCAAACTGCTGCTGAAAACCCCAGAGATCAGCTTCCATGATGCCGCTGCTAAACTCCAATCGATAGAAGTACCAAAGGATGCTCCAAACGTGAAATGTCTCCGCAGGGTAAACCGCTTCACAGGTCATGAAATTCCGCAAATACTGCTCCAGAAGACTCCTCACACAGTTTTTTTTTTTTTTTTTTAACAGTGGGGGTGGTAGCGGGTAGTGGCGAGAGGCTGACGACGAGAGCAATGACCTGTAACCTGTACCGAACCACTCCCGTGAATATGCTCGAACGCAACCCGATTTCAAATGACACCAGCTGTGTCCGCCTTTTTGTCCGTACATGCCGAAAATTTCGGGAAGAGCCGAAACTGCGGCTGCTCCCTTTCTGCTCCATATAACCAAAACACTCCGCAAATGTCGGTCGATGTCTCTTGTACCCCTGAAGATAGCGGGCAAAACTCCAGCTGTAAACGCTCGAACCACTCCACAAGCTCTCCGAAAATGTCGGAACCACGAAGTACTTAGTAGATACCGTAACTCCGCTCTCGCTGAGTACACTCACTCCAGCACAGCGTCATCACCTCCAGATGGCCGTCGTAGTGTATAGCGCCGAGGTCGTTAATCTCAGCTACTCCCACACAACTGCACACCCACATAACTTCATGCGATCGTGTCGTTCTGAATTTGTCGGATCTGCCCATTGCCGAAATAGTGTTGAAGCCCCGTCAATCGTCTGCAACTAGCCTGCCGGAAACGCCGACGCCAGCGACGCAACTGCATTTCACCATGCAGCTACATGGCACGACAAACGCCCATCGCGGTGCGTCCCGCCATTTTCGCCACCCCGCGCGTTCCTGACGACCATCTCCCGGCCGCCTGAGGACTCCCGTGCACTTGTCTCCTCGCGACGACCATCTTCCGGCCGCCCGACGACTCCTCGCTATTTTCAGAAGCCAATCCGAACACTTCGCTAGAAACTCCCGAAAATTCTGAACACTAACGAACATACCCGAAGAACACGGCGAAAACGTCGCCACCTATTCGACAGTAAATAATCCCGTCTACGCCAGGGGAAGGGGAGGACCTGCCAATCCCAGCCGTCCATCGGACAAGATCTGACGGCATCGGCAACGCCCGCGCAATTAATTTCCTCGACGTGCGCTCGCCATCAGCATCCTTCCGCCCCCTTCCCCGATAGGGTCTGCTCCCCTATCGGAAACTAGATGGGCAGAATCGGGGCTCTGATACCAGTTGTTATGAATTATAACTCAGAGTATAGCGCAGAATACTATAGGGGAAAGTGATTACGGCATTCTCCTGAATAATGAGACCTAGGGCTTATATAGTGCGAGTTGACCAGGTCGAAATGTCGAGGGTTGGACCAGTCGAGGGCTCGACAGCCCGAGGGTGACGGGGTCAAAACGGGTTCGGGGCGACTCGGGGTCAGGTTGGGGCCGAAAAGGTCGTCAAGGGCTGGTTTGGCGCGATAAACCAGGGCCGAGCCTGCGGACCCGCGCTGTTCGCTGTACTCGCTGTGGCGAGTCCCTGTAAGGAATCGGAATTCCTTACAATGATAGTAACCTTCGGTACGTACAACCAAAGACAGATATATCCCACCAACCACAGCTTGTGGTGTAAGGTATGAGCCTGCGGATTTGCTTGACTCGGCTGACCGTTGCCGAGGCTGATGTGCGGCCAGGAGTCAGGGGTCATGTCACAACTGTACGTCTGTTTTGAGCTGGCGTTCTACCGCCAGTGACACAAAGTTCTTCCAGTTGCTCCCGTACGGGGGGGAACAGCCCTCTAGTGACTGACACGCTGGTGTAATGCCACGTCGATCTCCCCTTGTTCGAGTGCGGCGGGTTTCATCATACTATGTAACACCCGCGTACGAAAGCGATTGTACCGCTTGAGCCACGGGAGTCGTGGCGTACGGAGGTGCAAGGCGCGAACATCGACGAAGCGCGATTCCGAAATTTCATATCCAGCACGGCATTCCTGACGAGTCCGAGCCCTGCGGATTGTTCCAACTCTGGTCCAACGAACAAAAATTGTTGGGCCAAATTGTTCCAACCCTGTTCAAGAACAGGGGGATACAGTCGAGGCAGTACCGAGATGAACCACGCTTGGCTGAAAATAATTAGGCAATCACTCTGTATTTACTGAAAAACGAAGGTTTTTCCATAATAGTCCGTATTTCATATAGTTTTTTTTTTCCAGCCAGTCCGGACTCGCAGAGGGAAATTCGCGGGAGCCGTATTGATCCGGGGGAATTCCAGGGCTACCCGGACCTTTTTCCTCACTCCCGTCTCCACCACCCCACATCTTTTTTGGCCTCAATTTTTGCCCCCGCCCCAACTTGCTGCCCTCCCCAACTCTCTCCCCAAAATCTCGCCCCACACCTCTCAAAACCCAGTACATTAGGGGGCCCCCCTTGCTGGAAGCCGGGGTTATGTCATTCTGAATCACTTACACATTGAGTCACTCTCTTAGGTATGTGAGTCACCCTTCTCCCCCATCCTCCCCACGGCCGTTTCGTCGCAGGAGCGAGGCCAAACTCGATAGCCCTACCGAAGTAATGGCGTGGGATATTTTTCCCCCGCAGAAATTGGTGGCGTTCAGGCCCCGGCTCGGACCCTGATCATCCGAGCAATTTTCGGTTCAGCTCGGGTTTTACAGGGGTTTTTTCAGAGGGGCCCAAATCGTCCGAGCTACAAAAAAGCCTAGCTCAGGCCCTGAATGTTCTGAAACAAACCAGAAAATTTAGTAACCGTCTCAAAGCTTGACCCGAGGTCCGAAATCTTCTCTTTAATTTTCAGGACCTGACGCGCGGCACCCCAGGTCAGGTCCATGACAGTTTTGCCATTTCCCATCTGCGTGTCGTTGACGGGACGTGAGGTTCGCGAGGAGCACTGCCGTAAGCACCAATGGCGTGAGCACCCGTGGGGCACATGGGTGGTTTCACATTTCACAGCACAGCAGCGCCCACAGCACGTGAAATGAGCACAAGCTGCTGCTTGTTTACAAGGCAGCATCGCCAACTGCAAGCAGTACTTAGTCTTCCTGGTCGCCCTGAAGTCTCAAAAGCTCAACCCTAGCACACGCCGCGTCCGCAAGCTCAGAGAGGAGCGTTCTGTTGGTGCCCCGTTTCCGCGTGTTAACGGAGCGCCGCGTGGGACTCCCATGCTTGGGGCGACAAAGCGCACGTCACGTCAACTCATCTCCGCGTCAACTCCCCCCTCCTCCTCCCCCCCCTCTCCCTGGAAATAAGGAAACCCTAGTCCGCACCGCATATTACCCCTACTGGAAAACTGTCTTCCCACGCTTCTCATCATCTCCCGGTCTCGCATTCGTTTAGCGATTATTCCCACGTTTCTGCTAGGCGACATCATCATCAGCTGGTATCTCGAACGTAGCTATCAGCGTGCCTCGCGCCGTACATCTTCTAGAGCTACTAGTTCTGCATCGGTGCGTGTAGAATCGTCATACCCATCCCTTTTGCCCCTCAACCTGCGGCTCTTTCGAGCTTGATTGAGATCGGATATTATTCTCAGTCGCCATCATGGCGCTGCCACTGGAAACGCCTACGATTCGCCTACCCGTCTACAAATCCCTCGCCGATTGCGCCGCTGCCGCGGGAGCCGGCGCGCCGGGGTCCCCCGGAAGGTCCGCCAAGCCTGCGCGCGGAAGCCCTGGACAGTCGAGATTCACGCCGCGATTCGTGGTGGGGAAGGTGCTCGGCGAGGGGAGCTACGGCGTGGTCGAGCTGTGCCACGAACGGTACACGATCACGCCACGTGGCACCAAGATCTACGCGTGCCCGGCGGAAAACGCGGAGGACGCCGCGACGCGTGCCAATCCGTCTCAAACCGCGGCCGATGATTGCTTGCCTAGCGTCACGCAAGGAAGGTGTTTCGGAACCTTCGCGTGTAAAACGGTGCACAAAACGACGTGTGACAGTAACGAGCTGCATGACCCGCGAGTCGCTGCGATGTGGCGGGAGATTAAGGTTATGAAACACCTGGGTAAACACCCTAACATCGTGGAAATGAAGGGGGTATACAACAACAACGAGCGGCTGCGACTGGTGATGGAGCTGTGCGACGGCGGCGACCTACTGTCGCTGCTGAAGGAGAAGAAATACAGCGTCGCACAGGTGCGTCGCCAGCAGCAGCAGGGGCGTAGCCAGCAGCAGCAGCTGAGTCGCCAGCTGCAGCAGCAGCGTGAGCAGCAGCAGCATCGATCCGTATGGGGTCAGCTTTCTCATCTCGGTACCCACAAGCATCACCATCACCATCTCTTTCACCATCCTGACACTGCGGCTCCTATCAGCAGCAGCAACAGCAGCGGAATCAGTGTCAGCAGCATCAGCGTCGGTAATCTCCATGCGCGCGTGGATCACGATGGACTCCCTGAGCCACTTGCAGCTGACATCTTTCGGCAGCTAGTGACTGCCGTGGCGCACTGCCACTCACACGGCGTCATCCATCGCGACATCAAGCTGGAAAACATCCTGCTGACGTCAGTGGCGCCACATCAGCTGCAGGTTACCAGATCTGGTGACTGTTCGCCTGCACGAGGCACAGAACGGTATTCTGCCGCTGACAGTGGCAGTGCCACATGTCCTTCCACAGTGAAGCTTGCCGATTTCGGGCTGGCGAAAATTCTCAAGCCACCCGAGAATCAGGCCATTGGGGACACTGGCAGTAGGCTGTACAAGGCACCGGAGGTCTTTGAGCGGCGGTGGTATACCACCCAGGCAGACATGTGGAGCCTTGGAATCGTCTTGTACGCGCTTCTGTCAGCCCGGTTCCCTGAAACAGACTCTAAAACCGGCATGGTGGTTACCACTGCTCCTGAAGCCCTGTTCAGGAGCAGGCTATGGGGAACGGTGTCAGCAGCTGCTAAGGATTTGGTTCTCCAGCTTCTCTCGTACGACCCTGTGGTGCGGCCCACATGTGAGGGGGTGCTGAGGCACTCGTGGGTTCAGCAGGGCAAAGGTGAACAGGCACAGAGATTTGCGCACGGGGGAATCCAGACTGGAAGGGGAGCTAGCCAAAGCGCGGTGCTGTCGTCGTCACTTGCTGGCCGTCCCGTCACCCCACCTGTGCCACAGCCGAGGGTGTGCCCCATGATTCCGCCTCCGCCTGTGGGCCCGGCTGAAAGTCGATCTAGGTCGATCTGGAATTCAGGAATTACCCCTTCAGGAGCGCAAGCAGCTGGGGTGACAGACCGGGACTACGAGCAATGCACGCCCAGCGTCCTTGGCCCATGGTTGCAACAGCCTGCACACAACCCTCCGTCGTGCTCCACATTTAATTCTTTCCTGCCACCATCAGTAAATAATAGGTGTAGAGCTGGTAAGAAGAGCGGGTCTCGCCTCAAGCCGATGTACTCACCACTGCTTTTGCCGTTCAGGCTGATATCGTTTGGGAGCAAAGGCAACCGATAAAGGTGTGTGAATGATAGGATCAACTAGTGATACCGTACCAGCTAGTCATGTGCATGCGTTCATCCATACTGTAGCTATCAAGATCCCCATATTCATATTGCATGATGCGGGTAAAGAGATGTTAGACTGTCATGTACAGCTGCACGTGCAATGCATTTAGATACACATAATCTCAAGACCACATTCAAACAAGTGGTGGCAAGAAATATTACAGCATAAGCTGGAACGAGCCAAATTGATCCAAATTGCACCTGGAAGAGGCTATAAGGGATACGCTACTTCACGAGGCTCTGGGCTGGTTCAAATGAACCTTCCCCCTCGCGGCTCAGCTTCGTGGTGGCCTTCCTGTTCCGCACAGTCCCGCAACCCCCCTCCCCGTCAAGACTCCTCCCAGCCCCGCACCGCACCGCACCGCCATCCCTTGCCGCAAACCTGGCCAAATCCCCCCTTTCCCCAATCGCCTTCTTCGAAACACCGCTTCCGCGCGCCCTCCTTCCGCCACAATTTCCTTCCCCGAACCTGTGCGGAAATCTCGATTCTCGAGAGTCCAGCCAGCATTGCATTTCGGGGGGATGCTCAGCAAAGAATCACACCAAGCCCCAATAACTATTCCGTGGCCAATCCGATAAAGATCCATGGCCGCTGGTGCCTATCTCGCCAAGGCTTCCCTCGCTTCCACCGCTCGGCTGCATGCTCTGATATCTCCCACTTCCGTCTCTAAGAGCTTCACTCCGCTCGCTACGCTTTCCCGCCACCCGGGTTTTGCGCCAGGTTTTCCCCAGGCTAAGCCGCTTCTCACGTCCTCCTTCCGCCCGATCTCTCGGTCCCTCAGGCCCAGGCGTGCAACTCGTCTGGGAAATTTCTCGTTAGTATCACGTGTGACAATGTCGACAGCTGCGGGCGAAGTGACTGATCGGCCTGTGCCTGTAGAGGACGGCGACTACGAGTGGGATCTGGTCACCATCGGCGTGGGGAGCGGCGGAACCAGGGCTTCCAGGATCGCTGCGTCGTTCGGCGCCAAGGTGCGGGAAACATTGGCGTGTGAATATTAGTGGTATACTTTCCTTTGTCCCCCCCGCTGATTATATTGGTGGCTGTGCATTAGTGGCTGTAGAACCAGGCTTTAATATTCGCTTGTATGGCGTACACGCGTAAAAAAAATAAAAAAAATCGGACATTTACCAATTTCTCTTGAGACCTTTTTCACACGAAAACGATTAGTGTAAACCACATCCTTGGGAATTTCAACGGACCAATCCTCTCGTCGTGGCTCAGTGTCTCACACGGTGATTGCATCAATTCGTTCTTCACCGCATTCTAAAGTGTGCACGTAAATCATGCTTCGTATCGTTCGCCCTACCAGGTGGCGGCTATCGAGCTTCCCTTCAACCCGATCAGCTCCGACACTCAAGGAGGCGTCGGCGGAACGTACGTTTCCTTGAATGCTCTTCGTCGGCTCTGCCAGGAAAGAAACAGAGTTGTAGCTGGATTGTTGTCTGCACTTTTCATGCCAGTCGTTCATCTTAAAGCCTGAGTCTAGAATGGCACGTTATCAAGTTGAACTTGTTTTCGTACAGTAGAGGTAACCCAGTTCAGGCAACCGCCACGTCGCAACCCTCGGGGAAATGGGGCTGCTTGCGAAAGCCGCTAGAAACGACAAACCACGAACGCACTGTTCACTCATCATACTGAACATGAAAACGCCCGCAACCATCCTGAACGCATTTTCCTGGGAGACTCGAGACTAGAGACCATCACAGTACTGTTCGTCACTGTTTGCGCACTGTTTTTCGTCAGAGGTGCTTTGCCGAAATTTTATTCGCTGAACTTTTTTGGCACTGTTTTCATGGTCAGAAAAGTTGGTTTTTTACTTTAACTTGTTGCGTCATTGCCAACTTCGCATTATCTGACAGCAGAATATCGCAGAATCACCTTTTAGCGGCACAGGTTTAAAGCCCAGCCCCCAAATTAGCTGAAGGGATCTAACTGGGTCCAGTTTGGTGCGAAGTACGACCAATAAAAAACAACTCTCAAATGTTGCACCCAATAGTTTTGCGTTTTCTCGACCCACCTACCTCCCGTTGACTCGGGTTGAGTATTTGGGATCTGGGCTTACAATTCATCAATTTGGCCTTTCATACACGCATGGTGCTTCTTTGCAGGTGCGTGTTGCGAGGGTGTGTTCCCAAGAAGATCCTCGTGTACGGGTCAGCTTTCAGCTCGGAGTTTGAGGTAAGCACCCAGTTTGCGGTAACATTCAATTTAGATAACGACTCAGTTTGTGGTTACCAACCTCTCAGTTTGAATTAACCACTCAGTTGGAGGTTACCACGCAGTCAGAGGTAACCACTCAGTTCGAGGTAACCACTCACTTCCGCTCACTCGAGGCAATGCAGCTTCACCACACAACGCAGTGTGAACGGACCTCAATTCGTGTGATCTGGGCCATCATTCCTATCCAGGAGCAATCATATTTAGTAGATGATCATGTGCTGAATGGCTCCAGCCACGCGCATGCCATCATGCAGGTCCAGTCCAGTCATTGCTATTGTTTGCGCCTATACTCACTTTCTCTCATGTTTGGTTTCCTCAGGACGCAGCTGGTTTCGGGTGGAGCATCCCAGGCGCTCCCACCTTCGACTGGAAGCACCTTATTGCGAACAAGGTGGGCTGCTTTGAATCCCGCGTGCAACGCATTTGCGTTGCAGCACACACCCTGTGTTGTTGAACGCAACACTGTGCCGTACTGTAGTGTACCGTATTGGTGGGCGTAATGGACGTTGAGGCATGGACTATTATCACTACATTCGCGTTTCCATGAATTTCAAGTCGTTCTTTGGTCAGTGGCATCGTTGAGTATCTGATCATCCCGAGTTTCACTTCATGCGTGTTCCTCCACACCCGAGTGTCGGGGTGTGTGAGACAGGGTGTACAAGTGCATCCTGAGCAACGCAGGGGGACTCTGATGTAGAGGGCCCAAGGACACGTGTTATTTTTTGTGCCGGTTCTTTGTTTCGTTCTGCTTTGCGTTGGTGCTCGTTCTCCTGTTGCCGGACCCATGACAGAGTGCACAAACGCGTTCGTAGCAGCGCAGGGGTGCCGGCGCTTGCTGGCTGATGCAGTGTGGGGTTTTAACAGCGCTCACCCGTTCTTCCCCTGGTTCATGTTTCCCCTGCCTGCTGTCACCCCACTCCACTGTTCAATTCCCGTTGATCTCTCCTTCCAGACCCGGGAGGTCGCGTCTCAACGTTTTGGCAAACGAGCTCATCTTCAGCGAGGTGGGGGTGACCCTGGAGGAGGGGCGAGGGAGGCTGGCAGACCCACACAGTGGCGGTGACGGCACCTGATGGCTCCTGGCTGATGCAGACGGCTCAGCAATGCCTACCGCCCTTATTCTCTCCCGTGCTCTTTGCGGATCTTTCCCTGCCCGCTGTTTCTGCTGCCTGCTGTGCCCTGCCCGTCGATGCTTTCCCCCTCTAGACGCGGGAGATTGAGCGCCTCAACGGCGTGTACAAGCGCATCTTGGGCAATGCAGGAGTGACTCTGGTGGAGGGGCGCGGCAAGCTGGTGGACCCGCACACCGTGGAGGTGACGTCACCGGATGGCTCCGTGCAGAAGCTCACAGCCAAGCACATCCTCATTGCCGTGGGGGGCCGGCCGCATTTGATCGACATCCCTGGCAAGGTATGCCCACTGAGGCACGGTCGCATGGCACATGGTGGAGGTGACGGAGCCTGATGGCTCCGCGCAGCGGCTCACAGCCAACCACATCCTCATTGCTGTGGGGGGCAGTCCGCACCTCATTGATATTCCTGGCAAGGTGGGGCGCATCTCACCAGCTCCCCCTATCAGCCGCTCATGTCAGTAGAAGCCCTCCGTCTGCCTTTATCTGTTGTCCCCCATACCACTCAGCCTCGCTTCTCCCCCCCCACCGCCTCCCCCCCACCCCCCCCCCCCCCTCTCCTCAGCCCATCCCAGTTTCCTCTCCCATTTCATGGCACCCTATCCCCCTTCCTTCTCCTTCCACCACCTTGGGAGTCCGCCTTCACGACAGATGAAGCCCTCAGCCTGCCAGGGCTCACATCGTCCTTCCCCTCCCCGTTTCCCTTCACCATCCCCTCCCCTCCCCTCTCCTTCCCTCCCATCTCCTCCCTTCCCATCTCCTCCCCTCCCCTCTCCTCCCCTCCCCTCTCCTCCCTCCCCTCTCCTCCCTTCCCCTCTCCTCCCTCCCCTCGCCTCCCTTCCCTTCTCCTCCCTCCCCTCGCCTCCCTTCCCCTCTCCTTCCTCCCCTCTCCTCCCTTCCCCTCTCCTCCCTTCCCCTCTCCTCCCCCTTCCCTCCCCTCCCCTCCCCTCCCCTCCCCTCGCCTCCCTTCCCCTCTCCTCCTTCCCCTCCCCTGCCTTCCTCTTCTCCCTCCCCTCCCTTCCCCTCCCCTCCCCTCCCTTCCCCTCCCCTCCCCTCCCCTCCCTTCCCTCCCATCCTCTCTCCTCCCCCCCCCCTTTTTCTCCCCTTCCCTCCCCTCCCCTCTCCTCCCCTCCCCTCCCCTCCCCTCCCCCTCCCCTCCCCTCCCCTCCCCTCCCCTCCCCTCCCCTCTCCTCCCCTCCCCTCCCCTCCCCTCTCCTCCTCTCCCCTCCCCTCCCCTCCCCTCCCCTCCCCTCCCCTCCCCTCCCCCTTTCCCTCCCCTCCCCTCCCCTCCCCTCCCCCTTTCCCTCCCCTCCCCTCCCCTCCCCTCCCCCTTTCCCTCCCCTTCCCTCCCCTCCCCTCCCCTCCCCTCCCCTCTCCTCCCCTCCCCTCCCCTCCCCTCTCCTCCCCTCCCCTCCCCTCCCCTTCCCTCCCCTCCCCTCCGCTCCCATCTCCTCCCCTCTCTTCTTCTCCCCTCTCCCCTCCCGCCCCCCCCCCCCGTGCCCGTGCATCACCCCAGGAGTTTGCCATCACGTCGGACGAGGCTCTCAGCCTGGCGGAGTTCCCCAAGCGTGTGGTCATTGTGGGGGCGGGGTGAGTGGGGGGGGGGGGAGGGGGAAAGGGGAGACCGGGGAGGGGGGGAAGGAGGGAGGGGGGAGGAGGGAGAGGGGAGGCTGGGAGTACGGAGTTCCCCAAGAGCGTGGTCACTGTGGGCGCATGTCAACAGCCGGGGCAGATGGGGGGAGGGGGGACAGCCTGACAGGATGGGGGTTGTGGAAGGGGGACAAGGGGAAGGGAGGGGGGGGTTCGGGGGGTGGTTAGGGGTTCGGGCAGTTGGAGTGGTTGGGGGGTTGGCGGTTGGGTAATTTCGAGAAATTTCTCTCTGCTGCTCGCTCTCCGCTTTGAATCTCTCCCTCACCCTTGTTCTGTTGCAGCTGAGCATTCCAAGTCTCAATAAGGTATGTTGGACTGCTCTCCGCCTTGCGCACCTAGATTCTGCTACCTGGACATGCAGTGTGAGACGCTGGAGTATCCGCATCTGATGTTACCTCTCTCCTTCCCCTCTCCCCTTCCCCCTATCCCTCTCCCCTCCTCCTGTCCCTCTCCCCTGCCCTTATCCTTCTTACCTATCCTCACGCTCAGCTACAAGGCAGTGGCCTCTGTGCTACAAGGCAGTGGCCTCTGTGCTGGCAATTTCCATGGTATGCCTTCTTTACCCCCCCCCACCCCCCTTGCCCCTTCTGCTTCCCCTTTCTGCCCCCCTCTTCCCCAGACACGTTGTAGTGGAGCTCGCTGGTGTTTCCCACGGCATGGCTGTTGACTTGCCCCATGTTCTCCCCCCAAACATGTCTTCCCTCCTTTTTCCGCCCATTCCCCCGTCCCCTAGCTACATCGCGGTGGAGTTCGCGGGTATTTTCCATGGCATGGGCGCCGAGGTGCATCTCGTGTATCGCCAGCCCGCCCCCCTCCGGTATGCACCTCCTTCCCGCTGTGATTCGGCGGGCTGTTTAGGAGCCTGGAGTCAGCCCGTGCAATTAATCTGCCATAGAAACGTCCTTTGTTTCATGGTACGCTGTAAGCCGTTTATTGCCGATTCGAAACTTCCATGTTGCCTTTCCAAACAACGCCCTCTTGGACCATTGGAGATGAGGGGAGTAGTGGCATAGAACCTGGCTGCTAGTGGCATGAAGCTGGAGTGGTGGTGTTGCAACGCTGTAAACAGCTACTCTCTACTGGCCCCCTTTTTTCCCTAATCTCTCCAACCAAGCCCTTTCCCCAGTGGAATTGACTAGGAGATGAGGGAGTGGTGGCGCAACAGAACCTGGCATCTCGAGGCATGGAGCTGCAATGGTGTGGCACCCTGCGCTGGGATTAACCTCTCCTTGTTCGCCCTAAATCTCTCCAACCCTTCCCCCAGTGGCTTTGACGAGGAGATGAGGGGAGTGGTGGCGCAGAACCTGGGTACCCGAGGCATGAAGCTGCACCCCTCCACCAACCCCACTAAGGCAAACACAGCTGCTCCGTTCTCGCTCTTTTTGCCACTCTCAACGTCACAAGCCCACAAAATCTTCCCTAGCTTCTTCCCCATTTGTTTTTCCATTGGTTTCTCCCCCCCCCCTCCTCCCCTCTCCCCCCCTCCTCCCCTCTCCCCCCCTCCTCCCCTCTCCCCCCCTCCTCCCCTCTCCCCCCCTCCTCCCCTCTCCCCCCTTCCCCCTCCCCCACCTCACCCCCCTTCCTATCTCCTAGACCCCCCATATGCTTCCGTTTGCCAGTCCTTCTGTAGCCTCACACCCCTCAGCACTCGCACGCGTTTTGAGGCGTCCTAGAGGATCACTCCCCGCCCATTCGCCATGAACCGTGCTTTGACCCTCTCTCACGTGTTGTGAGGCGGCTCAAAGCATCACCCCACGCGGTCTTGTCATGGCCCTGCTCCGCATCAGCACCCTCTAAGACACCCCCTCCCTCTCACGCCTTGTGATTGTTTCAGCACTCTCTCACTTTGCTCGTGTTTGGCCCTCTCATGGCTTGTTGTGATCATGCTGCCTGAATCAAATCCCCCTTCTCACGCCATGTGGCCCACGTTGCATGTGACAAACGGCTTGCAGGTGGAGAAGACTGCCACTGGAACGTATGTGCTCCATACTGATAAGGGAGAGGCTCTTGAGGCTGATGTGGTCATGTTTGCCACTGGTGAGTGGCTTCTAGTGCTTTGGCTTTGGTCATGCCCGCTCAATTACACGCCTGCTGCTGGGCCTTCTTGCGTGAAGCAGGCGTGTTTGCCGCGTGCTTCTCCCCTCTCCATCCCGTCCCTGCTCTCCCTCCCGTCCCTGCTCTCCCTCCCCTCTCTCATGCACGCCGTGCACCCAACTCGCACAACCCTGCCTTGGAGAGAGCCGTTGTGCTTCTCCTCTCTCTCCCCATGCCGCCCCATCCCCCCATCCCGTGTCCTTCTCTTCTTCCCCTCCCCAATCTTCCATGCATCCTGTCGCACTCCAGGCCGTGCCCCCAGCACGCACAACCTTGGGTTGGAGAATGCGGGAGTGGAGACGGACAGCATTGGGGCCATCAAGGTGAGCGAGGCGCAGAGTGAATGCATGTGTGGTATGACGAATAAGGTGGAGGGGGTGCATGCATGTGGTGCAATTTTGGGAGAATGTGGAGGGACCTGTGGTGTGAGCGGGCACTATCTTCGTTACTCTTGAAGAAAAGAAGGATCAGGCGGACGGGGTGCACTGCAGAACCTGGTGAGTGGAAGAGATGGTGATCTTTTTCATCCCCCCATAGGTGATTGCCTGGCTGCTTGACAGCCCGCTTTGACACGCAATAAGCGCCTGGCAAACAGGCGTCAAAGCAGGCCAGTCCTTGAGTTGTGCTTGAAGCGCTTCGAAGCGACTGGGTGCAAGCCCGTCAACAGCACGCCAGCACACCCAAGCGCACCGATGCGCACCCAAGCGCATCTGGTTCAGCAAACCATGGACTAGCCGGTTCTCGCTCTGCCCTTCCTGCCTCCACTCCCTGAATCTCAAAGCGCGTCTGGGTCTCACGTCTGGCATCCGCCATCTGGATCTCCTCCCTTCCGTTACCCTCTGGCCGCCCCATTGACCCCCGGCCCCTCCCCTTCGCCCCTGCCAGGTGAGCGCGTGGTCGCAGACCAACGTGCCGAGCGTGTGGGCGGTGGGGGACGTCACCAACCGCATCAACCTCACGCCTGTGGCTCTCATGGAGGGGCACTGCTTCGCGGTGAGCCTCGCAGTGTTTGAAGAGTTAGGATATGCAAGACACACATATTAGAGATTATCACCAGCGGCATCAGCCTCACCCCTGTGGCCCTTATGGAGGGGCACTGCTTCGCGGTGAGCCTCGCAGTGTTTGACGAGTTAGGATATGCAAGACACACATATTAGAGATTATCACCAGCGGCATCAGCCTCACCCCTGTGGTCCTCATGGAGGGGCACTGCTTCGCGGTGAGCCTCGCAGTGTTTGAAGAGTTAGGATATGCAAGACACACATATTAGAGATTATCACCAGCGGCATCAGCCTCACCCCTGTGGCCCTCATGGAGGGGCACTGCTTCGCAGGCATCAGCAATCGGCGCGCTGGCGGGGTTTACAGAGGATTTTTTGGAACGGATCTGTCAATGACAAGCGTGCCACTGCCTTCTCTACAGCCCATTGCTTAGGGCAGCTCTCAATTGCCAGAGATTGCTTTGGATTCCTCCTTGCCCCTCTATCCTCATCTCAGGGCTCAGAGCCTCTCTTTTCACAAGATTCTTTGTGGATCTCAGCTTGGGTCCACCACGTGCTCTCTTGCCTCATGATCTCATCACACACTCTTTCCTTATCGTTTCATTCTGTCCTCCTGGATTTCTGCCCCTTCTGCCTGCCCCCCGTCCCGTGTGTTCTCCACCTCAATGCAGCGCACTGTCTTTGGCAACGACCCCGACACGCCAGACTTTGAGAACGTTGCCTCTGCTGTCTTCTGGTCAGTTCTCATCTGCTTCCTCTCCTTCCGTCTGAGCCAGCTGTCAGCTGCAGTCGGTACTGGTTACTTGATCCCCCCGATTGCCAGTCACGTCTGATGCTGCCAGTTAGCCTGACTGCTTCCACTCTACACGAAACTCTCTCCGTGGTTTGGATGACGGAGAAGCAGGCAGTGGAGAGCTCAAGCAGTGCTTCACATGCATACGCGCATCCATGAATGCTCTGCTCCACCATGAGAGCGTTTTCATCTGCTTGCACTCACCACACGCCTCTCTTTCCTCCCTGCCTTACAGCCAGCCGCCCCTAGCCGTGGTGGGGATGACGGAGAAGCAGGCAGTGGAGAGCTCCAGCAGCGATGTGCTCGTGTTCACGTCCTCCTTCAACCCCATGAAGAACACCATCTCAGGGTGAGCGCTCTGCATGCCCATGCGTCTTATGGGTCTCCCACATGTGCTACCATGCATCATCGTGCCTCTCAACTGAACGCATCTCTCCATGCACACATGCCTCTGACTGAACACACCTGTCCATGCGCACATGCCTGTCCATGCACACATGCCTCTGAACTGTCCATGTGCACTCACATCCGCACACATGCATGCATGTCTGCATGTCTGCATGTCTAAGTGCTCTCCTTGTCTCCTCCCCTCATCATCCACACAAACCAGCCGCACAGAGAAGACCTGTATGAATCTGCCAGTGAAGTCATATATTGAAAGCACTAATCACATTCACCCCCTTGCTCCCCCCCCCATGATCCTCACCAACCAGCCGCATGGATAAGACGTATATGAGGTTGCTAGTGCGAGGCTCATGTATTGAGGGCACGTGTATCACTCTCCTCCTATCCTCCTATCCCCCTCTCTTCCCACCAACCAGCCGCTCGGAGAAGAGCTATATGAAGCTGCTGGTTGATGAAAGGAGTTGAATCAACATGGCATTACCAAACACACGAATTCGCCCGTGTCCCCCATGTGGCCCCTCAGCCGCACGGAGAAGACATACATGAAGCTGCTGGTTGACTCGGAGACGGATCGAGTGCTGGGTGCCTCCATGTGCGGCCCTGATGCCGCTGAGATCATGCAGGTGAGGCGCTCATGCAGGGGTAGGGAAGAAATGTTGGGTGGAGCGTTGGTTGTTGGAGTGCTGGTGCCTCCATGTGCGTCCCTGACGGTGCTGATGAGAGCGAGATCGTGCAGGTGAGAGTGAGATCGTGCAGGTGAGAGTGAGATCGTGCAGGTGAGACCTAGTACATTTCAGGATCAGTGCAGATCAGGGCATTGTGCAGCCGTTCAATGCAAATGTGGGTGCATGTTGCATAAAAAAGGTGTCTCCCTATCCGTGGGCTGAAATCTGTTTTCGGCGTTCCCAAAACCCCTTATGTTTGCGTGGATGACTGGCTAGCACACTCAAGTCCGGTGTTCTTCCTCGAGGATTCAACCTCACTTCTCCACATCTGGTTTGCTTCCTTGCAGGGGCTTGGGATTGCAATGAAGTGCAACGTCACCAAGAAGCAGTTTGACTCTACAGTAAGTTGAGCAGTTGAGAGTGATTGAGGCAAGGGTGTGAGTGAAGGCGAAGATGGTGCATGCGTGTAGTTGGAGCATGTGATCTTATTTCTGCATTTCTTGCTCGGGTCATTTCCTGTTTGATTTGCAGGTGGGGATCCACCCAACAGCTGCTGAGGAGTTCGTCACCATGCGGACACCCACACGCCGTTTGCCTGGGATGAAGAAGAAAGAGTAGACAAGACACGCACGTCAAGGACTGAGATTGGTGCAACAGTTTTCAGTCTAGAGACTGGGTAACCTTTGCCTCCATGAGCATGCACTTAAGTGCAGATGAATTATAGTTCTGCCCATGCCACACACTATTGGGCACACCCTACACCTGATCATTGGGCCATCATTTTCAGCCCCCGGAACTACTCTCCTTACTCCTTCCATCGAGTTGACACCCATCCAACCTTGTTGCCCAGAGGTTCACACACTGATGAAACCTCTATTTTGCCTCATTGGCTTGTCATCCTCTATTTTCACGCAAGTGCAGTGTGGTACCAATTTCATGATCTTCACTCAGAATGCTAGCATCCTGCGAGCTGATTCAAAAAGTGTAGCTTGCGTGTCGATGTTCATCCCATATGCATACTCGACAATGACGCATTCCATCGACAATTGAGCCCACATACACGTCAGACCACATACACGTCAGCCCTAGGCTGTGACACGCAGATGCACCGTGGGTACAGAGTTCCCGCCAGTCGAAAGCTGGAGTTTGCTTGAGTCGTCCCACCTTGCTGACTTTCTGGGGGAATATCGATGCTTGGCTAACGATGATTGGTCAGTTCTCTTCTAATGGTGTCGCCCCCCACACGACACCAGGTCGCGAAAGGGATCACAGCCACGAGGCATGAAGCGAAGTCGACGATAACGACGACGAAGAGGAGACATGACGTGACGGACGTCCGTCAATGCAGGCGAAGCCCCGCAGGCTCGGCATCACCAATTCCATCTCGGGAATGTCGTCACGAAGGTTGCTTGCATGCAGAGATGCTTCAAGCACAAGCCAGGTTAGTTCGGCTTGCGTTCCATTCACAATTTCTGCTCTACATGCTGCGACTGCCGAGTTTTTCACTCGTTCCATTGATTCCGACGCTCCCGATTTGAGATTACGTTTTGCTCTTCGATGGTTGTTTACGGATGTCTTTTGACAGCCGCTAGGGCTCGGGCGTGACGCGAAAATCGCTGAACTGCCAGCAGTCTTGCCGGGTTTAGATTCTTCCACGCCCCCTGACTACTTTCCTCCATATTTTTTTCTCCAGTTGATCGACAGCATGGCCAAAGCAGCCTAAGGCCTCGTGAGGAGGCTTACTGAGGTTAGCGATCGGTACCTGCGACTGCGGTTTCGCTTTCCTCCCTGCGAGGGTTTCCTTTTCACCGTGACGATGACACAGGCTTGTGACAGCACCGCTGTCTCATCATGGCATATGAGTCGAAAAGCATATCGACAGGTCCGAGCGGATCTTACCTATTGCATCAGCTAGTTCAGTTTCTTTCAAAATGGATTGGGCCTTACTAGCATGATGTGGGTGTTGCAGGTGGAGGTCATGGTTGCTCTTTTCATCTGGCTCGGGCTCTTCCACTTCAACACCATAGTCGGAGCTATTGCCATCTATCACCTCCCTAGCAAAACGTCCGTGACAGTTCTTGTCGTCATGCTGACGCTGGTGGTTATTCCCGTGTCGGAGTCCCAATTTGGGAGAAAGGTTGCCACCTTTATCGCCAGGATTGCCCCTACATACTTTCCGATCAAAGTAAGTTCGTCAACGACGGGTTAACCTGATTTAAGTATCTTGATTGACCTTATACACATGCTGACCAATCAATTGCACTTTTCAGATGGTATACGAGGACTACCAGGCGTTGGACCCTAAGAAGGCATATATTGTCGCCTTAGAACCCCACCATGTGTTTCCGATTTCCGCGGTTGCCCTCTCTCCCTTGTCTGGGCTGTTCCCGTTGGAAAAGATTCGTATTCTTGGCAGCAGCGCCTTGACCTACGTACCCTTTGTTCGCCATATCTGGCGGTGGCTGAGCATGGCCCCAGCGACGCGCAAACAGTTTTCGAATCTCCTGGCTTCGGGAACGTCCTGTGTCATTGTTCCGGGTGGCTTGCAAGAGTCCCTATTGCTCGAACAGTCTCGCGAGGTGCGGTAGTGATGCTCCTGTTTGTGTGCATGCGTCAAGTCTCCCTTAAACGTTCTGACTGAATGTCTTAAATACTGCAGGTACTGTTTCTGAAGCGGCGATTGGGTTTCGTACGTCTGGCAGTGGAGTCCAACGTTCCCATAATTCCCATCTTCTCCTTCGGTCAGAAGGACGTGTACAGCTACTGGTTCCCGCGCAGCTCTTTCCACACTGCTTTGTCTCGTAAGTTGATGTTTGCTCCGATGCTGTTTTGGGGTAGGTGGGGCACGCCCATCCCACATCAGAAGCCCATGACTCTTGTGGTGGGGAAACCAGTTCCAGTACCTGCGGGTGAAGCAAGCCTAGACGCTGCAGTCCAGAAAATGCATGCGGAGTTTATCGCCACTGTTGAACGTCTGTACGAGCAGCATAAGTGTGGAGTAGGATTTTCTGCTGTACCACTTGTCATAACATGAGGTCTGATGATAGTCTTATCACCATCTCCTCATACAAGAGTGCCAGTGGTCTAGTGGTAGAATAGCACCCTGCCATGAGCTCGGTGCAGACCCGGGTTCGATTCCCGGCTGGCACAGGCTTGAGTTCCTTTCTTGTGCACACATTTCAACGCATGTGCAAATAGGTGGTACAATTTTGTTGAAAACATTTTTAGCACAAAAGTGTTCTTTTCCTGAAAATCAGGCCTGTTTTTTTTTTTCCATTCATCTGATTTGTTTTACGGGCTTAATTAATTCGTCTAATCCTTCAGACAAGCCATACTGAAAGTTCAGACTAGGTGTACAGCTTCGTTAGAAAAATCAGTGTAGGTGTGTGTGTGCGTTTAGGCTAGGTAGGTGTACTGCATATCCTGGATCCTACTGTAGAGGGTACAACCGCCTTCTTTCAGCCCTCTTTCTATTCCACAACTCTTCTCTCTAGCCTAAACCTAAACCTAGCCTAAACCTCTCGCTACTTTCCTATGCCTAGCTCCTAGTTACTAACCTAGCTATCTCAACATGGTTTCAAAGCAGATTGTTCCTCCTGGGTCTGCTTATCACACTTCCGCAACGTTCGCTCCTCCCTCCTGTCCTTTCCGCGCCGCCGCCATGGCCATGTCGTGCTGCTGTGACGGCGTCGTCGTATTGCCTTGGCGTCGTCGACGCGCCACTGCACGGACGACACTGACGGCAGTGGCCAGCGCCTGGTCTTAGCGCTGGCTAGCACGCTCCCATGCAGCCAGTGCGCCACACGGGGCGGCACGCTCCCTGGCTCCGCTGCTGAAGCCCCGCCTGTTGAAGTGAAGAAATGACTAGAACAGTGACATACAAGGGAATATAACCTAATGGGTTGTACTCCCTAAGGCACAACCCTGTATAGTCTATAACAACATACAAAGATATGTTTGACACACCCCTTAGACTGGATAAGGGCAATGCCTGGTGAGAGAAGCAACTCAGGTGGCACTACTAGTCCAACCTCTAAGGTAGGGGTCTGAAGACCAATCAAACGAGTACAGACAAGGCAAGAGCAAGACCAGGGGGGCACTACTAGTCCAGCCACTGGGAAGAGGCCACAAGGCCAGTCAGGGTAATATATATAAAGGTCTGTACACAATCAAGGTTCTAGCAAGTGAAAGGCTACTGGAACAAGACCTAGCTGTACACAGAGCCGCTGATGACCTTTAGGCGCAAGCGCCTTAGTGAAGATATCAGCTGCGTTGGCACCAGAGGCCAAGTGTACTATGCGGGCCTGGCAATGCTGCTGCAGCTCGCGCAGGAGGGAGTGCCGCAGCTAGATGTGCTTCACTCTGCCCTCAAGTCGTGGCTCCTGTCACATGAGGATCATGGCCCTGTTGTAAGCGTACAGAACCGGGGCAGAGCTAGGCTGCTCACCCAGATCGGTGAGCAAGAAGGTCAGCCAGCAGAGCTCCTGTGCCGCCATGGCACCAGCGTAGATCTCAGCCTCACAACTAGACTGGGCAACAGACGAGGAGTGGGTAGACCTCCACAAGATGACACCTACACCAAAGATAAAATAGTAGCCATGGGAGGACCTGAGAGTCTCGGCGTCGTCTACCCAAGAAGCGTCTGTGTGCCCGGTACAGACCACTGGTCTACGTCCTCCTAGCACTAGCCCCATGCCCGATGTACTTGCTAGATAACGCAAAACCCTCTTAGCTGCCGACCAGTGATGTGGTCGGAGTCTGCCAGGGGACACAAAGCGAGCCAGGATGCTGAGAGGGTATGCGAGATCTGGACGAGTGCAAGTCATACGGTACATGAGGCAACCCACCAGCTCTGCGTAGGGACCACTAGGCTCTACAGCCTCCTCCGGGACTGGAGCAGAGAGTCTGTGGTCAGTGAAGGCCGAACCTCTGAAGGACCTCGCGCACCAAGTGTGACTGAGAGAGAGTGATGGTGTGCGCTGCTCTGTCCCTGGAGATCTGCAAGCCAAGGTAGCAGCGCAGCTCTCCTAGGTCAGTGCAGGCGTGTCTCCTCAGCAGCTCGGCCTTCACGGAGGCTAGCGCGTCTCTGTCTGCAGTAGCAAAGACCAAGTCGTCTACGTAGACAAGGATGTAGAACGGGGTCTGGCCGGAGCGGACGAAGAGTGAGGGGTCTGCAGACGAATGGAAGAACTACAAGTCAGCAGGTGTAGCACACAGCGGGTCATGCCATTTACGGGGCGCCTGTCGCAAGCCGTAGACAGGGCGTCGGAGGAGCCACTCGGTGCCAAGGGGAAAGGTACCGGAGAAGCCCTAGGGGCGGCGCAGGTAGACCTGCTCGTGTAGACTGCCTTGGAGGAAAGCTCTGGAGAAGTCGAGGGAGTGTAGCCCGTAGTTACGCTGTACTGCTACGTGTAGTAGTGCCCGAAGAGTGGTCATCTTCGGGGTCGGGGCAAAGGTCTGAAAGAAGTCCACCCCCTCACGCTGACTGAAGCCTCGAGCAATGTTGCACGCCTTGAAGACAGGCGGCTCTCCAGGAGAGTGCTTCACCTTGAAGAGCCACCGATTGTTGACTACGTTTTCCCCAGGTGGGGGTGTTGAGAATAGCCCTGATCCTGCGAAGGTTGCAGAAGTCTGCTGAAGCGGCATATCAACGAAGTCTGCGGACACGAGCCGTACAGAAAGGCCCATCGAGGAAATGCAGATTTGTGGACAAGGCGAGGCTCTGCGGGAAGTGGCAGAGGAGCAGTTTTCGTTGGTGGCAGAAAAGCGGTTCTGTCGGAATGGCAGAACAGGAGCGCTTTTTTCCATAAGGCTTCTACATCGACATGTGCTTCTGTAGAAGCGGTCTCGGTAGAATTGAGAGTATACAAGACCCTCTGACGATTTGGTAGAAGGGTTGTCCTCTGCCGAAGTATCGCGCAGAAGACATTTTTGTAGGCGATCCATTCGGCATAATCGACTATCGAAAATGCGTTCCAGCAGGACCTCAAACAGACTTGCGCAAGGATCTGTTCGCACAGAATTGCGTTCTGCCGAAGTTCGGTAGAAAGGCAATTCGGATATCTCTTCGATTGTCGACCCCCCTCGGCAGAAACGAAATTTGGCAGAAACGCGGCAGAGAGTCATCTCGGACTTCGCTTCTGCGAGCGACCCCTTCGACATAAAATCAGGGACTTAGCTTTTCTGCGGAAGGTAACGTTCCGAAATCACGAGAAATTTGCGATTTCTGTAAGTTGACCACAGAACCGATCTGAACCGAAAAACGGCAAAACCTCCCAGCGACATTGAGAAATTGAACACGTGACGCACATTTCGTAACTGCGGAAATGTGTGTAACATCGGACAGTTTCATATTTGAAACTCCAAAACAACTACAGTACTTCTAAGTGGGTAAGAATTACCAACTAAGCATGTGCTGTAATTTTCACCTACCATTGCTGACTTGGCTAACTGCAGCTTAGAGTAGTTATGTAGACGTTCTCGTGCGAACGTTCTCTCCGTGTTCAATGAGCTTCAATGGGGTAGTACTAGTGTTTGCCTTGTGTACCATACTTTGTAATCTTGATTCTAGTGAATTTTGTGTGCCCAAGCTTTCTCAAGCTACTCCTCTCATCTCCACCCACCCCGTCGTATCTCCTCTCATCTCCTCCCATCCCGTCCTATCTCCTCTCATCTCCACACATCCCGTCCTATCTCCTCCAATCTCCACCCATCCCGTCCTATCTCCTCTCATCTCCTCCCATCCCATCCCATTTCCTAACATCTCCACCCATCCCATCCCATCTCCTCTCATCTCCACCCATCCTGTCCTATCTCCTCCCATCTCCACCCATCCCGTCCCATCTCCTCTCATCTCCACCCATCTCGTCCTATCTCCTCTCATCTCCACCCATCCCGTCCTATCTCCTCCCATCTCCACCCATCCCGTCCTATCTCCTCTCATCTCCTCCCATCCCATCCAATCTCCTCCCATCTCGAACCATCCCATCCCATCTCCTCCCATCTCCACCCATCCCGTCCCACCTCCTCCCATCTCCACCCATCCCGTCCTATCTCCTCTCATCTCCACCCATCCCGTCTTATCTCCTCTCATCTCCACCCATCCCATCCCATCTCCTCCCATCTCCACCCATCCCGTCCTATCTCCTCTCATCTCCTCCCATCCCATCCCATTTCCTAACATCTCCACCCATCCCATCCCATCTCCTCTCATCTCCACCCATCCTGTCCTATCTCCTCCCATCTCCACCCATCCCGTCCCATCTCCTCTCATCTCCACCCATCTCGTCCTATCTCCTCTCATCTCCACCCATCCCGTCCTATCTCCTCCCATCTCCACCCATCCCGTCCTATCTCCTCTCATCTCCTCCCATCCCATCCCATCTCCTCCCATCTCGACCCATCCCATCCCATCTCCTCCCATCTCCACCCATCCCGTCCCACCTCCTCCCATCTCCACCCATCCCGTCCTATCTCCTCTCATCTCCTCCCATCCCATCCCATCTCCTCCCATCTCGACCCATCCCATCCCATCTCCTCCCATCTCCACCCATCCCGTCCCACCTCCTCCCATCTCCACCCATCCCGTCCTATCTCCTCTCATCTCCACCCATCCCGTCTTATCTCCTCTCATCTCCACCCATCCCATCCCATCTCCTCTCATCTCCACCCATCCAGTCCTATCTCCTCTCATCTCCACCCATCCCGTCCCATCTCCTCTCATCTCCGCCCTTCCCGTGCCATCTCCTCCCATCTCCACCCATCCCGTCCTATCTCCTCTCATCTCCACCCATCCCGTCCTATCTCCTCCCATCTCCACCCATCCCGTCCCATCTCCTCTCATCTCCACCCATCTCGTCCTATCTCCTCTCATCTCCACCCATCCCGTCCTATCTCCTCACATCTCCACCCATCCCGTCCCATCTCCTCTCATCTCCACCCATCCCGTCCTATCTCCTCTCATCTCCACCCATCCCGTCCTATCTCCTCTCATCTCCATCCATCCCGTCCTATCTCCTCCCATCTCCACCCATCCCGTCCTATCTAATCTCATCTCCACCCATCCCATCCCATCTCCTCCCATCTCCACCCATCCCGTCCTATCTCCTCCCATCTGCTAACATCCTGTCCTATCTCCTCTCATCTCCACCCATCCCGTCCTATCTCCTCTCATCTCCACCCATCCCATCCCATCTCCTCTCATCTCCACCCATCCCGTCCTATCTCCTCTCATCTCCACCCATCCCGTCCTATCTCCTCCCATCTCCACCCATCCCGTCCTATCTCCTCTCATCTCCAACCATCCCATCCCATCTCCTCCCATCTCCATCCATCCCGTCCTATCTCCTCTCATCTCCACCCTCCCATCTCCACCTATCCCGTCCTATCTCCTCCAATCTCCACCCATCCTGTCCCATCTCCTCCTATCTACACCCATACCGTCCTATCTCCTCTCATCTTCACCCATCCCATCCCATCTCCTCCCATCTCCACCCATCCCCTCCCATCTCCTCTCATCTCCCCCCATCCCGTCCCATCTCCTCCCATCTCCACCCCTCCCGTCCTATCTCCTCTCATCTCCATCCATCCCGTCCTATCTCCTCCCATCTCCACCCATCGCATCCCATCTCCTCTCATGTCCACCCATCCCGTCCTATCTCCTCTCATCTCCATCCATCCCATCTCATCTCCTCCCATCTCCACCCATCCCATCCCATCTCCTCCCATCTCCACCCATCCCGTCCTATCTCCTCCCATCTCCACCCATCCCGTCCTATCTCCTCCCATCTCCACCCATCCCGTCCTATCTCATCCCATCTCCTCTCATCTCCACCCATCCCATCCCATCTCCTCCCATCTCCACCCATCCCCTCCCATCTCCTCTCATCTCCACCCATCCCGTCCTATCTCCTCTCATCTCCACCCATCCCGTCCTATCTCCTCCCATCTCCACCCATCCCGTCCCATCTCCTCTCATCTCCACCCATCTCGTCCTATCTCCTCTCATCTCCACCCATCCCGTCCTATCTCCTCCCATCTCCACCCATCCCGTCCCATCTCCTCTCATCTCCACCCATCCCGTCCTATCTCCTCTCATCTCCACCCATCCCGTCCTATCTCCTCTCATCTCCATCCATCCCGTCCTATCTCCTCCCATCTCCACCCATCCCGTCCTATCTCCTCTCATCTCCACCTATCCCATCCCATCTCCTCCCATCTCCACCCATCCCGTCCTATCTCCTCCCATCTGCTAACATCCTGTCCTATCTCCTCTCATCTCCACCCATCCCGTCCTATCTCCTCTCATCTCCACCCATCCCGTCCTATCTCCTCCCATCTCCACCCATCCCGTCCCATCTCCTCTCATCTCCACCCATCCCGTCTTATCTCCTCTCATCTCCACCCATCCCATCCCATCTCCTCCCATCTCCACCCATCCCATCCCATCTCCTCTCATCTCCACCCATCCCATCCCATCTCCTCTCATCTCCACCCATCGAGTCCTATCTCCTCTCATGTCCACCCATCCTGTCCCATCTCCTCTCATCTCCACCCATCCCGTCCTATCTCCTCCCATCTCCACCCATCCCGTCCTATCTCCTCTCATCTCCACCCATCCCATCCCATCTCCTCTCATCTCCACCCATCCAGTCCTCTCTCCTCTCATCTCCACCCATCCCATCCCATCTCCTCTCACCTCCACCCATCCAGTCCTCTCTCCTCCCATCTCCACCCATCCCGTCCCATCTCCTCCCATCTCCATCCATCCCGTCCTATCTCCTCTCATCTCCTCGCATCCCATCCCATCTCCTCCCATCTCCACCCATCCCGTCCTATCTCCTCCCATCTCCACACATCCCGTCCTATCTCCTCTCATCTCCACCCATCCCGTCCAATCTCCTCTCATCTCCACCCATCCCATCTTATCTCCGCTCATCTCCACCCATCCTGTCCCATCTCCTCCTATCTACACCCATACCGTCCTATCTCCTCTCATCTCCACCCATCCCATCCCATCTCCTCCCATCTCCACCCATCCCATCCTATCTCCTCCCATCTCCACCCATCCCGTCCTATCTCCTCTCATCTCCATCCATCCCGTCCTATCTCCTCCCATCTCCACCTATCGCATCCCATCTCCTCTCATGTCCACCCATCCCGTCCTATCTCCTCTCATCTCCATCCATCCCAACCTATCTCCTCTCATCTCCACCCATCCCGTCCCATCTCTTCTCATCTCCACCCATCCCATCCCAACTCCTCCCATCTCCACCCATCCCGTCCTATCTCCTCTCATCTCCACCCATCCCGTCCCATCTCCTCTCATCTCCACCCATCCCGTCCTATCTCCTCCCATCTCCACCCATCCCGTCCTATCTCCTCTCATCTCCACCCATCCCATCCCATCTCCTCTCATCTCCACACATTCCGTCCTATCTCCTCTCATCTCCACCCATCCCATCCCATCTCCCCCCATCTCCACCCATCCTGTCCAATCTCCTCTCATCTCCACCCATCCCACCCTATCTCCTCTCAACTCCACCCATCCCATCCCATCTCCTCCCATCTCCACCCATCCCGTCCTATCTCCTCCCATCTCCACCCATCCCGTCCTATCTCCTCACATCTCCACCCATCCCGTCCCATCTCCTCTCATCTCCACCCATCCCGTCCTATCTCCTCTCATCTCCACCCATCCCGTCCTATCTCCTCTCATCTCCATCCATCCCGTCCTATCTCCTCCCATCTCCACCCATCCCGTCCTATCTAATCTCATCTCCACCCATCCCATCCCATCTCCTCTCATCTCCACCCATCCCGTCCTATCTCCTCTCATCTCCACCCATCCCGTCCTATCTCCTCCCATCTCCACCCATCCCGTCCTATCTCCTCTCATCTCCAACCATCCCATCCCATCTCCTCCCATCTCCATCCATCCCGTCCTATCTCCTCTCATCTCCACCCTCCCATCTCCACCCATCCCGTCCTATCTCCTCCAATCTCCACCCATCCTGTCCCATCTCCTCCTATCTACACCCATACCGTCCTATCTCCTCTCATCTTCACCCATCCCATCCCATCTCCTCCCATCTCCACCCATCCCCTCCCATCTCCTCTCATCTCCCCCCATCCCGTCCCATCTCCTCCCATCTCCACCCCTCCCGTCCTATCTCCTCTCATCTCCATCCATCCCGTCCTATCTCCTCCCATCTCCACCCATCGCATCCCATCTCCTCTCATGTCCACCCATCCCATCCTATCTCCTCCCATCTCCACTCATCCCGTACTATCTCCTCTCATCTCCACCCGTCCCGTCCATTCTCCTCTCATCTCCACCCATCCCATCTCATCTCCTCCCATCTCCACCCATCCCATCCCATCTCCTCCCATCTCCACCCATCCCGTCCTATCTCCTCCCATCTCCACCCATCCCGTCCTATCTCCTCCCATCTCCACCCATCCCGTCCTATCTCATCCCATCTCCTCTCATCTCCACCCATCCCATCCCATCTCCTCCCATCTCCACCCATCCCCTCCCATCTCCTCTCATCTCCACCCATCCCGTCCTATCTCCTCTCATCTCCACCCATCCCGTCCTATCTCCTCCCATCTCCACCCATCCCGTCCCATCTCCTCTCATCTCCACCCATCCCGTCCTATCTCCTCTCATCTCCACCCATCCCGTCCTATCTCCTCTCATCTCCATCCATCCCGTCCTATCTCCTCCCATCTCCACCCATCCCGTCCTATCTCCTCTCATCTCCACCTATCCCATCCCATCTCCTCCCATCTCCACCCATCCCGTCCTATCTCCTCCCATCTGCTAACATCCTGTCCTATCTCCTCTCATCTCCACCCATCCCGTCCTATCTCCTCTCATCTCCACCCATCCCGTCCTATCTCCTCCCATCTCCACCCATCCCGTCCCATCTCCTCTCATCTCCACCCATCCCGTCTAATCTCCTCTCATCTCCACCCATCCCATCCCATCTCCTCCATCTCCACCCATCCCATCCCATCTCCTCTCATCTCCACCCATCCCATCCCATCTCCTCTCATCTCCACCCATCCAGTCCTATCTCCTCTCATCTCCACCCATCCTGTCCCATCTCCTCTCATCTCCACCCATCCCGTCCTATCTCCTCCCATCTCCACCCATCCCGTCCTATCTCCTCTCATCTCCACCCATCCCATCCCATCTCCTCTCATCTCCACCCATCCAGTCCTCTCTCCTCTCATCTCCACCCATCCCATCCCATCTCCTCTCATCTCCACCCATCCAGTCCTCTCTCCTCCCATCTCCACCCATCCCGTCCCATCTCCTCCCATCTCCATCCATCCCGTCCTATCTCCTCTCATCTCCTCGCATCCCATCCCATCTCCTCCCATCTCCACCCATCCCGTCCTATCTCCTCCCATCTCCACACATCCCGTCCTATCTCCTCTCATCTCCACCCATCCCGTCCAATCTCCTCTCATCTCCACCCATCCCATCTTATCTCCGCTCATCTCCACCCATCCTGTCCCATCTCCTCCTATCTACACCCATACCGTCCTATCTCCTCTCATCTCCACCCATCCCATCCCATCTCCTCCCATCTCCACCCATCCCATCCTATCTCCTCCCATCTCCACCCATCCCGTCCTATCTCCTCTCATCTCCATCCATCCCGTCCTATCTCCTCCCATCTCCACCTATCGCATCCCATCTCCTCTCATGTCCACCCATCCCGTCCTATCTCCTCTCATCTCCATCCATCCCAACCTATCTCCTCCCATCTCCACCCATCCCGACCCATCTCCTCTCATCTCGACCCATCCCATCCCAACTCCTCCCATCTCCACCCATCCCGTCCTATCTCCTCTCATCTCCACCCATCCCGTCCCATCTCTTCTCATCTCCACCCATCCCATCCCAACTCCTCCCATCTCCACCCATCCCGTCCTATCTCCTCTCATCTCCACCCATCCCGTCCCATCTCCTCTCATCTCCACCCATCCCGTCCTATCTCCTCCCATCTCCACACATTCCGTCCTATCTCCTCTCATCTCCACCCATCCCATCCCATCTCCCCCCATCTCCACCCATCCTGTCCTATCTCCTCTCATCTCCACCCATCCCACCCTATCTCCTCTCAACTCCACCCATCCCATCCCATCTCCTCCCATCTCCACCCATCCCGTCCTATCTCCTCCCATCTCCACCCATCCTGTCCTATCTCCTCTCATCTCCACCCATCCCATCCCATCTCCTCCCATCTCCACCCACCCCATCCCATCTCCTCTCATCTCCACCCATCCCATCCCATCTCCTCCCATCTCCACACATCCTGTCCTATCTCCTCTTATCTCCACCCATCCCATCCCGTCTCCTCCCATCTCCACCCATCCCATCCTATCTCCTCTCATCTCCATCCATCCCGTCCTATCTCCTCCCATCTCCACCCATCGCATCCCATCTCCTCTCATGTCCACCCATCCCGTCCTAGCTCCTCTCATCTCCATCCATAACGCCCTATCTCCTCCCATCTCCACCCATCCCGTCCTATCGCCTCCCATCTCCACCCACCCCATCCTATCTCCTCTCATCTCCACCCATCCCATCCCATCTCCTCCCATCTCCAACCATCCCGTCCTATCTCCTCCCATCTCCACCCATCCCGTCCTATCTCCTCTCATCTCCACCCATCCCATCCCATCTCCTCCCATCTCTACCCGTCCCATCCCATCTCCTCTCATCTCCAACCATCCCGTCCTATCTCCTCTCATCTCCACCCATCCCATCCCATCTCCTCCCATCTCCACCCATCCCGTCCCATCTCCTCTCATCTCCACCCATCCCATCCCAACTCCTCCCATCTCCACCCATCCCGTCCTATCTCCTCTCATCTCCACCCATCCCGTCCCATCTCCTCTCATCTCCACCCATCCCGTCCTATCTCCTCTCATCTCCACCCATCCCGTCCTATCTCCTCGCATCTCCACCCATCCCATCCCATCTCCTCCCATCTCCACCCATCCCATCCCATCTCCTCCCAGCTCCACTTAACCCGTCCTATCTCCTCTCATCTCCATCCATCCCGTCCTATCTCCTCCCATCTCCACCCACCCTGTCCTATCTCCTCCCATCTCGACCCATCCCGTCCTATCTCCTCCCATCTCCACCCATCCCGTCCTATCTCCTCTCATCTCCACCCATCCCGTCCCATCTCTTCTCATCTCCACCCATCCCATCCCAACTCCTCCCATCTCCACCCATCCCGTCCTATCTCCTCTCATCTCCACCCATCCCGTCCCATCTCCTCTCATCTCCACCCATCCCGTCCTATCTCCTCCCATCTCCACCCATCCCGTCCTATCTCCTCTCATCTCCACCCATCCCGTCCTATCTCCTCTCATCTCCACCCATCCCATCCCATCTCCTCCCATCTCCACCCATCCCATCCCATCTCCTCTCATCTCCACCCATCCCATCCCATCTCCTCCCATCTCCACCCATCCCATCCCATCTCCTCCCATCTCCACCCATCCTGTCCTATCTCCTCTCATCTCCACCCATCCCGTCCTATCTCCTCTCAACTCCACCCATCCAATCCCATCTCCTCCCATCTCCACCCGTCCCGTCCTATCTCCTCCCATCTCCACCCATCCTGTCCTATCTCCTCTCATCTCCACCCATCCCATCCCATCTCCTCCCATCTCCACCCACCCCATCCCATCTCCTCTCATCTCCACCCATCCCGTCCCATCTCCTCTCATCTCCACCCATCCCATCTCAACTCATCCCATCTCCACCCATCCCGTCCCATCTCCACTCATCTCCACCCATCCCGTCCTATCTCCTCTCATCTCGACCCATCCCATCCCATCTCCTCTCATCTCCACCCATCCCATCCCATCTCCTCCCATGTCCACCCATCCTATCCTATCTCCTCTCATCTCCACCCATCCCGTCCTTTCTCCTCACATCTCCATCCATCCCGTCCTTTCTCCTCCCATCTCCACCCATCCCATCCTATCGCCTCCCATCTCCACCCACTCCGTCCTATCTCCTCTCATCTCCACCCATCCCGTCCTATCTCCTCTCATCTCCACCCATCCCGTCCTATCTCCTCTCATCTCCATCCATCCCGCCCTATCGCCTCCCATCTCCACCCACCCCATCCTATCTCCTCTCATCTCCACCCATCCCATCCCATCTCCTCCCATCTCTACCCGTCCCATCCCATCTCCTCTCATCTCCAACCATCCCGTCCTATCTCCTCTCATCTCCACCCATCCCATCCCATCTCCTCCCATCTCCACCCATCCCGTCCTATCTCCTCTCATCTCCACCCATCCCGTCCTATCTCCTCTCATCTCCACCCATCCCATCCCATCTCCTCTCATCTCCACCCATCCTGTCCCATCTCCTCCTATCTACACCCATACAGTCCTATCTCCTCTCATCTCCACCCATCCCATCCCATCTCCTCCCATCTCCACCCATCCCATCCTATCTCCTCCCATCTCCACCCATCCCATCCCATCTCGTCCTATCTCCTCCCATCTCCACACATCCCGTCCTATCTCCTCTCATCTCCACCCATCCCGTCCTATCTCCTCTCATCTCCACCCATCCCATCCCATCTCCTCTCATCTCCACCCATCCTGTCCCATCTCCTCCTATCTACACCCATACCGTCCTATCTCCTCTCATCTCCACCCATCCCATCCCATCTCCTCCCATCTCCACCCATCCCATCCTATCTCCTCCCATCTCCACCCATCCCGTCCTATCTCCTCTCATCTCCATCCATCCCGTCCTATCTCCTCCCATCTCCACCCATCGCGTCCCATCTCCTCTCATGTCCACCCATCCCGTCCTATCTCCTCTCATCTCCATCCATCCCAACCTATCTCCTCCCATCTCCACCCATCCCGACCCATCTCCTCTCATCTCCACCCATCCCGTCCTATCTCCTCTCATCTCGACCCATCCCATCCCAACTCCTCCCATCTCCACCCATCCCGTCCTATCTCCTCTCATCTCCACCCATCCCGTCCCATCTCCTCTCATCTCCACCCATCCCATCCCAACTCATCCCATCTCCACCCATCCCGTCCCATCTCCACTCATCTCCACCCATCCCGTCCTATCTCCTCTCATCTCGACCCATCCCATCCCAACTCCTCCCATCTCCACCCATCCCGTCCTATCTCCTCTCATCTCCACCCATCCCGTCGCATCTCCTCTCATCTCCACCCATCCCATCCCAACTCCTCCCATCTCCACCCATCCCCTCCTATCTCCTCTCATCTCCACCCATCCCGTCCTATCTCCTCTCATCTCCACCCATCCGATCCAATCTCCTCCCATCTCCACCCATCCCATCCCATCTCCTCCCTTCTCTACCCATCCCGTCCTATCTCCTCTCATCTCCACCCATCCCATCCCATCTCCTCTCATCTCCACCCATCCCATCCCATCTCCTCCCATCTCCACCCATCCCATCCCATCTCCTCCCATCTCCACCCATCCTGTCCTATCTCCTCTCATCTCCACCCATCCCGTCCTATCTCCTCTCAACTCCACCCATCCCATCCCATCTCCTCCCATCTCCACCCATCCCGTCCTATCTCCTCCCATCTCCACCCATCCTGTCCTATCTCCTCTCATCTCCACCCATCCCATCCCATCTCCTCCCATCTCCACCCACCCCATCCCATCTCCTCTCATCTCCACCCATCCCGTCCTATCTCCTCTCATCTCCACCCATCCCATCCCATCTCCTCCCATCTCCACCCATTCTATCCTATCTCCTCTCATCTCCACCCATACCGTCCTATCTCCTCACATCTCCATCCATCCCGCCCTATCTCCTCCCATCTCCACCCATCCCATCCTATCGCCTCCCATCTCCACCCACCCCGTCCTATCTCCTCTCATCTCCACCCATCCCGTCCTATCGCCTCCCATCTCCACCCACCCCATCCTACCTCCTCTCATCTCCACCCATTCCATCCCATCTCCTCCCATCTCCACCCATCCCGTCCTATCTCCTCTCATCTCCACACATCCCGTCCTATCTCCTCTCATCTCTACCCATCCCATTCCATCTCCTCCCATCTCCACCCATCCCATCACATCTCCTCCCATCTCCACTTAACCCGTCCTATCTCCTCTCATCTCCATCCATCCCGTCTTATCTCCTCCCATCTCCACCCACCCCGTCCAATCTCCTCTCATCTCCACCAATCCCATCCCATCTCCTCCCATTTCCACCCATCCCATCCCATCTCCTCTCATCTCCACCCATCCCATCCCATCTCCTCCCATCTCCACCCATCCCGTCCTATCTCCTCCCATCTCCACTCATCCCGTCCTATCTCCTCTCATCTCCACCCACCCCGTTCTCTCTCCTCTCATCTCCATCCCTCCCGCCCTATCTCCTCCCATCTCAACCCATCCCGTCCTATCGCCTCCCATCTCCACCCACCCCGTCCTATCTCCTCTCATCTCCACCCATCCCGTCCTATCTCCTCTCATCTCCACCCATCCCATCCCATCTCCTCCCATCTCCAACCATCCCGTCCTATCTCCTCTCATCTCCACCCATCCCGTCCTATCTCCTCTCATCTCCACCCATCCCGTCCTATCTCTGCCCATCTACACCCATCCCATCCCATCTCCTCCCATCTCCACCCATCCCATCCCATCTCCTCCCATCTCCACCCATCCCATCCTATCTCCTCCCATCTCCACTCATCCTGTCCTATCTCCTCTCATCTTCACCCATCCCGTCCCTTCTCCTCTCATCTCCACCCATCCAGTCCTATCTCCTCTCATCTCCACCCATCCCGTCCTATCTCCTCCAATCTCCACCCACCCCGTCCTATCTCCTCTCATCTCCACCCAACCCATCCCATCTCCTCCCATCTCCACCCAACCCATCCCATCTCCTCTCATCTCCAACCATCCCGTCCTATCTCCTCTCATCTCCACCCATCCCATCCCATCTCCTTCCATCTCCACCCATCCCGTCCTATCTCCTCCCATCTTCACCCATCCCATCCAATCTCCTCTCATCTCCATCCATCCCGCCCTATCTCCTCCCATCTCCACCCATCCCTTCCTATCGCCACCCATCTCCACCCACCCCGTTCTATCTCCTCTCATCTCCACCCATCCCGTCCTATCTCCTCTCATCTCCACCCATCCCATCCCATCTCCTCCCATCTCCACCCATCCCGTCCTATCTCCTCTCATCTCCACCCATCCCATCCCATCTCCTTCCAGCTCCACTTTACCCGTCCTATCTCCTCTCATCTCCATCTATCCCGTCTTATCTCCTCCCATCTCCACCCACCCCGTCCTATCTCCTCTCATCTCCACCCATCCCATCCCATCTCCTCCCATCTCCACCCGTCCCATCCCATCTCCTCTCATCTCCAACCATCCCGTCCTATCTCCTCTCATCTCCACCCATCCCATCCCTCTCCTCCCATCTCCACCCATCCCGTCCCATCTCCTCCCATCTCCACCCATCCCATCCCATCTCCTCCCATCTCCACCCATCCCATCCCATCTCTTCCCATCTCCACCCATCCCATCCTATCTCCTCCCATCTCCACTTATCCCGTCCTATCTCCTCTCATCTCCACCCATCCCGTCCTATCTCCTCTCATCTCCAACCATCCCATCCCATCTCCTTCCATCTCCCCCCATCCCGTCCTATCTCCTCTCATCTCCACGCACCCCGTTCTATCTCCTCCCATCTCCACCCACCCTGTCCTATCTCCTCTCATCCCCACCCATCCCATCCAATCTCCTCCCATCTCCACCTATCCCATCCTATCTCCTCTCATCTCCACCCATCCCATCCCATCTCCTCCCATCTCCACCCGTCCCATCCCATCTCCTCTCATCTCCACCCATCCCGTCCCATCTCCTTCCATCTCCACCCATCCCGTCCTATCTCCTCTCATCTCCACCCATCCCATCCCATCTCCTCTCATCTCCACCCATCCCGTCCTATCTCCTCCCATCTCCACTCATCCTGTCCTATCTCCTCTCATCTCCACCCATCCCGTCCTATCTCTTCTCTTCTCCGCCCATCCCATCCCATCTCCTCTCATCTCTGTTAGGATTAAGGACGGAGTCTAGGTGAACTTAGGAGCTAGAATTACTCAAAATATAAATCCGAAATTCTGGACAGAAAAGTCGTCTTCACAAGAAACGACGTCGACAGAAAACTAGCCGTTGGAATGTCGCGAAACTTGGATATGTTGTAGCTCTTAATCTCAGCTACCGTTCCCAATTTGAATCACGTTGATTGATGAAGTATTCGCGACGCTATGGCTTTCGACGCATTAGGGGGTAAGCTGTAGGAGGAGAACTTAACTCAATCTCAAAAGGTTCAATCAAAGTTCAAGAATCTCACAAGGAATTAGAAGGAGCAAGAGAAAGGTTGGGATAGGAAGAGAGGGATGAGAGGGAAGGTCCCAAGAGAGTCCCCAACCAAGGAAACCCCATAAGCACAAAGATTCCCTCCCTATAGGAACCTCAACTTTGACCTTTGTCCCTTCCCAACCAATCCATCCAAGTTGGCCACCCTTGCCAACCTAGCTTGGTTGTTCCCAACCTATTTGCAGCTGTTACAGTAGAGTGACAAGTTTCCCCAACCCCAAAGGTCCCAACTCCATATAAAGTCACCCCACAACTTCACTTAGTAACCGCCGCAATTGTAACGCAAGCTCATGAACTTTGAATCTTCATAGCTTTCGCGTTGTTGCTCCAATTGAAGAGATTCTTGTTGCGTCGGAAAGATCTTCTCAAGATCTATCATCACAAATACCTGCTCAAACAAAATAACACATAACACATTCCCAAACTCCAGAACACACACCACACAAATGCTTGCACATTCAAACCACACATGCAAGTTGAAAACATGGGATGGGAGGCAGACAGAATGTGATAGCATATGATGACATCACACAACAATCTCCCCCTCTGGCTGCCAACCATCATCCACCATACCACATCTCAAGCATGCATACTCAATGCACACTCATCCCAGCAAGCTTCATGCCCTTCCAATGATCCGCCTCCGCCAGACGCTTGGTGAAAATATCTGCTGCCTGCTGATGGGTCTTCACTATCTCCAGCCGCACCTCCTTATCAAGGAGTCTCCTCACCCAATGCCACTTAGGCCTTATGTGTTTTGTCAGCCCATGCAGACAAGCATTCTTGGCGAGCTTCACAGCGGACTCATTGTCACAAAACACAACTGTCGGCTCCTCCTGACCAACTCCCAACTCCTCCAACAAACGCCTTAGCCACACTACTTCCTTGGCCCCATGGTGTAAGGCCATGTACTCAGTCTCACATGAGGACAATCCCACCTCATTCTGCTTCTTGCTGCGCCAGCTCACAGCACCACCTCCTAGCAAGCACACATAACCCCCAATGCTGGTGCCATCCGCTTTCACTGAGTTGAAGCTAGCGTCAGTATAGCAACTCAAGAGCATCTCACCACTCTTCACATCTGCAGCACCTCTCTGCAACCGCTGCCTCACTCCACTGTACTCCAATCCCACTGATGCCGTAGCACTCACATAGCGGACCAACCTCTTGGCCGCTTCCAGCTGCTCATGACTAGGGCGTGAGACCACACTAGCCAACCGTGATGTAGAAAATGCAATGTCAGGCCGTGTATGATTTGCAGCATAATTCAGCGACCCAACCATCGAATGAAACAGCTTCCTATCACTCTCACCCACTACCTCCTCATCAGCACATGGCTCCACAGTAAACCCTGAAGGTAGTGGTGTTGCTGGCTTTCCCCCATCTTGCAGCCCATACTTCTCAGCCAGCCCCTCACAGTACTTCCTCTGGTGCAACCTCAGCACACCCTTTTCCACATCTCTCTCCACGTGCATCCCCAAGTAGTACTTCACCTCACCCATCTTGGAGCACTTGAACTGCATCTCCAGCATCTGCTCTGCGTCTTCTTGAAACCCCCAGCCAACAGCGCCTCCTCCAACTTGTGATACCATGCACGAGGCGCCTGCTTAAGGCCATAGATGGCCTTCTTCAGCCTGCAGACCCTGCCGCTCCCGTCATCCAGCCCCTCTGGCTGTTTCATGTACACCTCCTCCAGAATGATCCCATTCAGAAAGGCAGTCACAATGTCCATCTGCCGTATCTTCCATCCCAGGAGTGCAGCTATCGCCAACAGCACCCTCAGTGTTGTTCCTTTCCCCACAGGAGCAAACACCTCATCATAGTCCTTCCCCTTTGTCTGCTGAAACCCCCGTGCCACAAGCCTAGACTTGTAGCGGGTCAGCTCCCCTTCAGGTCCATACTTGTGCCTGTAGATCATCTTGGAAGTGATTGCCTTCTTCCCAGGAGGCAAGTCACACAGGTCCCATGTCTCGTTCTCAATTAGGGACCCGAACTCCTCATCCTCACTCGCCTTCCACTTCTCCCCATTTGGTCCATTCAAGGCCTCCTCTCGAGTCTTGGGCTCAGGGATTGGTGCCCAGTAGCAGTGAGCGATCTCATCTTCCTCAATCTGCTCAACCACACTCCCAGCCTGCACCACATTTGGCTTGCCTCTTCCCCCATAGGTCAGCCTCACAGGAGGGCGCACATCCCTCCTAGGTCGCTCAGGCGGGTGTGGAACTCGAGGTGGAGACTCATGTTGCTGTTGCTGCTCCACTTCAGCTGCTCCCCCTTCCTTAGTCACCCCAAACATCTCCTCCTCTGACACTGCAACCTCCACCTGTCTTGAAGGGTGCTGCACCTCATCTGCCTCCACAATGAGCGGTGTAGATGGAAGCTTCTGTTGCTGCTGCTTCCATTCCTTGTAGTACAGGGACTCAAGAAACTTCACATCCCTTGACACAGTCAACTTCTGGGTGGTCAAGTCCCATAGCAGCCACCCCTTGTGATCCTTTGCAATCCCCAAGTGCACACCCCATCTTCCAGAAGCCTCCAACTTCCCTCTTTTCTCCTTAGGCACATGAAACACCACCATGCACCCAAATGCCCTCAGCATGTTCACAGCTGGAGCACTCCCATACCACTTGACATATGGGATCCACTCCTTATCTCCAACTGTAGCCAGCACCCTGTTCTTCACAAGGGCGACCTGCCTCAGTGCAGACACCCAAAACGGATCAGGCAGCCCTGCACGCCCAAGGAGAGTGCGTGCCCCCTCCTGCAGGGTCCTGTTGAACCTCTCAGCCACGCCATTCTGCTGCGGGTTGTAGGGCACTGTCAGTTGATGCTGGATCCCCTTCCTCTTCAACTCCCCCTCAAAATCAGCTCCAATGAACTCCCCACCATTGTCACTGCGGATCACCTTCACCTTGTATCCGCATTCCCTCTGAGCTCTAGGCATCCACTCCTTAAGGACAGCCGCTGCCACCTCCCCCTTGCTCTTCAAAGGGTAAACCCACACTGCCCGAGTGTGGTCATCCACAATTGTCAAGAAATAGCGGCTGCCTGAGAGGGAAGGGGCTCTTGTGGGCCCCACCACATCCATGTGCACAAGTGCAAGTGGGGTCTTGGCTGGTCCTGTAGTGCTGTTGAAGGGGAACTTGGAGAACTTGGTCTCCAAGCATGTAGGGCAGCTCCCAATCTCCTTCACTCCCCCTTTCACCTCCAAGCCCTTCAGGCTCCCATCCTTCACCAACTTTTGTAGCATAGGGAAGTTCACATGACACAGCCTCTCATGCCATGTCTCCCAATCGGCCTCTCCACTCCTTGATGAAGCCTTAGCCCATGCCGCACTCGCATCCACACCAGCAAGCACCTCACCATGTGTCTGCTGCTGCTGCACTTTCTTGACTGCTTCCAGGACCCCATCAGTTGGTGCAGTTGCATCTCCTCCTGCTGTTGCCTTTGCCGCTGCTGCCGTTGCTGTTGTTGGAGTCTTCCCATTCCATGGGATGATGGGCAGCTGCCACAGGTCCTTGATGCAGCTGGTCTCCTCTTCCAGACTCCACAGCACCTTCTTCCCAAGCTTAGCACGGCAGCTGGTTGGTCCAAAGGTCACTTCGGCCTTGCTCTTCTGCAGTCGTCGCAAAGAGAGAAGGTTAGCAGACAAGCCTTCAACCAGCAGAACATTCCCAAGCCCCACAAGCTCCCCATTAGCTCCCTTAACCTTGGCATTTCCAATACCAATCACGGGGAGCAAAGCACCTGACGCTGCTGCCACATACTTGATCTTCCCAGGGGGTTTTACCTCATCAAGCAAATCTGCCCGTGGGGTCATGTGACTGGTGCAACCTGAATCAATCACCCAGTGCGTGAGAGGGTGCATCACAACCTTTCCCACAGATCCCACATCACCCTCATGCCCATGCACATCCTCAACCATAACAAACAAACCAGGATAGGCATTACCTTGTGCACCTTCACCTTGTGCACCTGAGCCTTGCACAGCGCCACCTTGTGCGCGTTCACCACTGGGCGGCTTCATGCCTGGAGGTGCCCATCCCTCCGGCCTGCTGAAGCACTTGAACCAAGGATGCCCTATCTTCTTGCAGTACCAGCAGGTGCCCTCCATTCTGGTGCTCCCCCTGCCACTGGAGCTTCCATGCCCCTCATTATAGTCACCTCGGCCTCTACCTCTGCCAAAGCTCCTCCCACGGCCTCGGCCTTTCCAACCCCCTCTTCCTCTGCCGCGCCCTGCAGCTCCATACCCCTCAGCAGTCTTAGTGGCAGCACCGCCTCCCACATGGCGTCTGCGGAAGTCCTCCTGCAGAATCTGCTGCCTTAGCCACTCAGGTGTCCATTGATCTTGCTGAGAGTTGAGGGTGGGGATGAGGTTATCCCACGAGTTGTCCAACACCGAGATGATCTTGGTGCACTGCTGCAGCTGAGATACACTGCTGCCCGCTGCTGCCATCCTTGCATAGGTGTCCTTGATCTTGTCAAGGACCGGCTTCACATCATCCCCTGGTCGCATGGAGATGGCAGCAAGTTCCTTCTCGAGCACGATCACCATTGGGAGAGTGTTGGGTTGAATCACATCATGTAGTAGTTTCCACGCCCTTGGACCCGAATCATCCGCTTCCACAAGATCCTTGATGTGCTCGAACATCTCCTTGTTGACCGATTGAAGGATGAGGTCGAAAAGCACCGCGCTTTTCTCAATCCACCGTTCACGTGCTTCGCCTTCTTCCGGCATCTTCTCTTCCCCAACAGCAATCTTGAGGAGCTTGTAGCGTTTGAAGGCACTCCTCATCCGCCCGCTCCATTCCTCATAGTTGGAGCCATCCAAAGCTTCAACTTTTGATGGCGGCGGCTCACTTGTCTTCTCAGCTACAGCTCCTCTTCCATTAGCATCTCCTCCTCTCTCATTCATCTTCTCCTTGAGAAATGACGAATTTCAGCTCCCCTTTGTGCTGTCCACACTCAGCTCCCTCGATATTTTCACAAGTGTCGGCGTCCACGAAATTTCGGTAGAGTTTCCCCTTAGCGGAAGACACATCCAACCTTTAGAACACCACTTAGGCACACCCACAGGCCATGGTGGGTCTAGAAGGGTCTTCAAACTTCTGTAGACTCCTCTCAATGTCCTTAATATGGCTCTGATACCACTTGTTAGGATTAAGGACGGAGTCTAGGTGAACTTAGGAGCTAGAATTACTCAAAATATAAATCCGAAATTCTGGACAGAAAAGTCGTCTTCACAAGAAACGACGTCGACAGAAAACTAGCCGTTGGAATGTCGCGAAACTTGGATATGTTGTAGCTCTTAATCTCAGCTACCGTTCCCAATTTGAATCACGTTGATTGATGAAGTATTCGCGACGCTATGGCTTTCGACGCATTAGGGGGTAAGCTGTAGGAGGAGAACTTAACTCAATCTCAAAAGGTTCAATCAAAGTTCAAGAATCTCACAAGGAATTAGAAGGAGCAAGAGAAAGGTTGGGATAGGAAGAGAGGGATGAGAGGGAAGGTCCCAAGAGAGTCCCCAACCAAGGAAACCCCATAAGCACAAAGATTCCCTCCCTATAGGAACCTCAACTTTGACCTTTGTCCCTTCCCAACCAATCCATCCAAGTTGGCCACCCTTGCCAACCTAGCTTGGTTGTTCCCAACCTATTTGCAGCTGTTACAGTAGAGTGACAAGTTTCCCCAACCCCAAAGGTCCCAACTCCATATAAAGTCACCCCACAACTTCACTTAGTAACCGCCGCAATTGTAACACAAGCTCATGAACTTTGAATCTTCATAGCTTTCGCGTTGTTGCTCCAATTGAAGAGATTCTTGTTGCGTCGGAAAGATCTTCTCAAGATCTATCATCACAAATACCTGCTCAAACAAAATAACACATAACACATTCCCAAACTCCAGAACACACACCACACAAATGCTTGCACATTCAAACCACACATGCAAGTTGAAAACATGGGATGGGAGGCAGACAGAATGTGATAGCATATGATGACATCACACAACAATCTCCACCCATCCCGTCCTATCTCCTCTCATCTCAACCCATCCCGTCCTATCTCCTCTCATCTCAACCCATCCCGTCCTATCTCCTCTCATCTTCACCCATCCCATCCCATCTCCTCCCATCTCCACCCATCCCGTCCTATCTCCTCTCATCTCAACCCATCCCGTCCTATCTCCTCTCATCTCCACCCATCCCATCCCATCTCCTCGCATCTCCAACCCTCCCATCTCCTCCCACCTCCACCCATCCCGTCCTATCTCCTCTCATCTCCACCCATCCCGTCCTATCTCCTCTCATCTCCGCCCATCCCATCCCATCTCCTCTCATCTCCACCCATCCCGTCCTATCTCCTCCCATCTCCTCCCATCTCCACCCATCCCGTCCTATCTCCTCTCATCTCAACCCATCCCGTCCTATCTCCTCTCATCTCCAGCCATCCCGTCCAATCTCCTCTCATCTCCACCCATCCCATCCCATCTCCTCCCATCTCCACCCATCCCATCACATCCCCTCCCATCTCCACTTAACCCGTCCTATCTCCTCTCATCTCCTCCCATCCCATCCTATCTCCTCCCATCTCCACCCACCCTGTCCTATCTCCTCTCATCCCCACCCATCCCATCCCATCTCCTCTCATCTCCACCCATCCCGTCCTTTCTCCTCTCATCTCCACCCATCCCATCCCATGTCCTCCCATCTCCACCCGTCCCATCCCATCTCCTCTCATCTCCAACCATCCCGTCCTTTCTCCCATCTCCACCCATCCCGTCCTATCTCCTCCCATCTCCACTCATCCTGTCCTATCTCCTCTCATCTCCACCCATCCCGTCCTATCTCCTCTCTTCTCCGCCCATCCCATCCCATCTCCTCTCATCTCCACCCATCCCATCCCATCTCCTCCCATCTCCAACCCTCCCATCTCCTCCCATCTCCACCCATCCCGTCCTATCTCCTCTCATCTCAACCCATCCCGTCCTATCTCCTCTCATCTCCACCCATCCCATCCCATCTCCTCGCATCTCCTACCCTCCCATCTCCTCCCACCTCCACCCATCCCGTCCTATCTCCTCCCATCTCCACCCATCCCATCCTATATCCTCTCATCTCCACTCATCCCGTCCTATCTCCTCTCATCTCCACCCATCCCATCCCATCTCTCATCTCCACCGATCCCGTCCCATCTCCACCCATCTCCACCCATCCCATCCCATCTCCTCCCATCTCCACCCATCCCGTCCTATCTCCTCTCATCTTCACCCATCCCGTCCCTTCTCCTCTCATCTGCACCCATCCAGTCCCATCTCCTCTCAGCTCCACCCATCCCGTCCTATCTCCCCTCATCTCCACCCATCCCATCCCATCACCTCCCATCTCCACCCATCCCGTCCTATCTCCTCCCATCTCCACCCATCCCATCCCATCTCCTCCCATCTCCACCCATCCCATCCCATCTCCTCCCATCTCCACCCATCCCATCCTATCTCCTCCCATCTCCACCCATCCCATCCCATCACCTCCCATCTCCACTCATCCCGTCCTATCTCCTCTCATCTTCACCCATCCCATCCCATCTCCTCCCATCTCCACCTATCCCGTCCTATCTCCTCTCATCTCCACCCATCCCGTCCTATCTCCTCTCATCTCCACCCATCCCATCCCATCACCTCCCATCTCCACCCATCCCGTCCTATCTCCTCGCATCTCCACCCATCCCATCCCATCCCCTCCCATCTCCACCCATCCCGTCCTATCTCCTCTCATCTCCACCCATCCCGTCCAATCTCCTCTCATCTCCACCCATCCCATCCCATCTCCTCCCATCTCCACCCATCCCATCACATCCCCTCCCATCTCCACTTAACCCGTCCTATCTCCTCTCATCTCCACCCATCCCATCCTATCTCCTCCCATCTCCACCCACCCTGTCCTATCTCCTCTCATCCCCACCCATCCCATCCCATCTCCTCTCATCTCCACCCATCCCGTCCTTTCTCCTCTCATCTCCACCCATCCCATCCCATGTCCTCCCATCTCCACCCGTCCCATCCCATCTCCTCTCATCTCCAACCATCCCGTCCTATCTCCTCCCATCTCCACCCATCCCGTCCTATCTCCTCCCATCTCCACCCATCCCATCCCATCTCCTCCCATATCCACCCATCCCATCCTATCTCCTCCCATCTCCACTCATCCCGTCCTATCTCCTCTCATCTTCACCCATCCCATCCTATCTCCTCTCATCTCCACACATCCCATCCCATCTCCTTCCATCTCAACCCATCCCGTCCTATCTCCTCTCATCTCCACCCATCCCGTCCTATCTCCTCTCATCTCCATCCATCCCGCCCTATCTCCTCCCATCTCCACCCATCCCGTCCTATCGCCTCCCATCTCCACCCACCCCGTCCTATCTCCTCACATCTCCACCCATCCCGTCCTATCTCCTCTCATCTCCACCCATCCCATCCCATCTCCTCCCATCTCCACCCATCCCGTCCTATCTCCTCTCATCTCCACCCATCCCGTCCAATCTCCTCTCATCTCCACCCATCCCATCCCATCTCCTCCCATCTCCACCCATCCCATCACATCCCCTCCCATCTCCACTTAACCCGTCCTATCTCCTCTCATCTCCTCCCATCCCATCCTATCTCCTCCCATCTCCACCCACCCTGTCCTATCTCCTCTCATCCCCACCCATCCCATCCCATCTCCTCTCATCTCCACCCATCCCGTCCTTTCTCCTCTCATCTCCACCCATCCCATCCCATGTCCTCCCATCTCCACCCGTCCCATCCCATCTCCTCTCATCTCCAACCATCCCGTCCTTTCTCCCATCTCCACCCATCCCGTCCTATCTCCTCCCATCTCCACTCATCCTGTCCTATCTCCTCTCATCTCCACCCATCCCGTCCTATCTCCTCTCTTCTCCGCCCATCCCATCCCATCTCCTCTCATCTCCACCCATCCCATCCCATCTCCTCCCATCTCCAACCCTCCCATCTCCTCCCATCTCCACCCATCCCGTCCTATCTCCTCTCATCTCAACCCATCCCGTCCTATCTCCTCTCATCTCCACCCATCCCATCCCATCTCCTCGCATCTCCAACCCTCCCATCTCCTCCCACCTCCACCCATCCCGTCCTATCTCCTCTCATCTCCACCCATCCCGTCCTATCTCCTCTCATCTCCGCCCATCCCATCCCATCTCCTCTCATCTCCACCCATCCCGTCCTATCTCCTCCCATCTCCACCCATCCCGTCCTATCTCCTCTCATCTCAACCCATCCCGTCCTATCTCCTCTCATCTCCAGCCATCCCATCCCATCTCCTCCCATCTCCAACCCTCCCATCTCCTCCCACCTCCACCCATCCCGTCCTATCTCCTCCCATCTCCACCCATCCCATCCTATCTCCTCTCATCTCCACTCATCCCGTCCTATCTCCTCTCATCTCCACCCATCCCGTCCTATCTCCTCTCATCTCCACCCATCCCATCCCATCTCTCATCTCCACCCATCCCGTCCCATCTCCACCCATCTCCACCCATCCCATCCCATCTCCTCCCATCTCCACCCATCCCGTCCTATCTCCTCTCATCTTCACCCATCCCGTCCCTTCTCCTCTCATCTGCACCCATCCAGTCCCATCTCCTCTCAGCTCCACCCATCCCGTCCTATCTCCCCTCATCTCCACCCATCCCATCCCATCACCTCCCATCTCCACCCATCCCGTCCTATCTCCTCCCATCTCCACCCATCCCATCCCATCTCCTCCCATCTCCACCCATCCCATCCCATCTCCTCCCATCTCCACCCATCCCATCCTATCTCCTCCCATCTCCACCCATCCCATCCCATCACCTCCCATCTCCACTCATCCCGTCCTATCTCCTCTCATCTTCACCCATCCCGTCCCTTCTCCTCTCATCTCCACCCATCCAGTCCTATCTCCTCTCATCTCCACCCATCCCGTCCTATCTCCTCTCATCTCCACCCATCCCGTCCTATCTCCTCTCATCTCCATCCATCCCGCCCTATCTCCTCCCATCTCCACCCATCCCGTCCTATCTCCTCTCATCTCCACCCATCCCGTCCTATCTCCTCTCATCTCAACCCATCCCATCCCATCACCTCCCATCTCCACCCATCCCGTCCTATCTCCTCCCATCTCCACCCATCCCATCCCATCTCCTCCCATCTCCACCCATCCCATCCCATCTCCTCCCATCTCCACCCATCCCATCCTATCTCCTCCCATCTCCACCCATCCCATCCCATCACCTCCCATCTCCACTCATCCCGTCCTATCTCCTCTCATCTTCACCCATCCCGTCCCTTCTCCTCTCATCTCCACCCATCCCGTCCTATCTCCTCTCATCTCCATCCATCCCGTCCTATCGCCTCCCATCTCCACCCACCCCGTCCTATCTCCTCTCATCTCAACCCATCCCGTCCTATCTCCTCTCATCTCCACCCATCCCATCCCATCTCCTCCCATCTCCACCCATCCCGTCCTATCTCCTCTCATCTCCACCCATCCCGTCCTATCTCCTCTCATCTCCACCCATCCCATCCCATCTCCTCCCATCTCCACCCATCCCATCACATCTCCTCCCATCTCCACTTAACCCGTCCTATCTCCTCTCATCTCCACCCATCCCGTCCTATCTCCTCTCATCTCCACCCATCCCATCCCATCTCCTCCCATCTCCACCCATCCCGTCCTATCACCTCCCATCTCCACCCATCCAGTCCTATCTCCTCTCATCTCCACCCATCACGTCCTATCTCTTCTCATCTCCACCCATCCCATCCCATCTCCTCCCATCTCCACCCATCCCGTCCCATCTCCTCTCATCTCCACCCATCCCGTCCTATCTCCTCTCATCTCCACCCATCCCATCCCATCTCCTCTCATCTCCACCCATCCCATCCCATCTCCTCCCATCTCCACCCATCCCATCCCATCTCCTCTCATCTCCACTCATCCCGTCCTATCTCCTCTCATCTCCACCCATCCCGTCCTATCTCCTCTGTTGGACTTGGGGCGATAGTTTCTGGCTATTCGCTAGGTCCCCAAGAACACAGCGGAAACTCCAAACTGGATCTGAGAAGTGTAGGAGAGCTGGGTGCTCTTCAGCTTTAGAGTTCAAACAGTGAATTGCACTCCAAAAAGTGGTTACAGACGAAAAACAGAACAAGAACATATAAGCATGCAGAAATGTAAAGGGCGACTCGTGTAACGCGTCGCGTGCGTTTCATCGAATCTTGGTCGGAACCGATTTCTGTAACCGACACTGTCGGTGACACCGACCCTGTGACATTCCGCTGAATACGACCTGAGTTTGGTTGGACATTTCTGGCTGTACTGAACTCTCTCGACGTTCTCTCTTCCCTGGTTCCTCCGTCCATCTGTTTTTTCTCCATCTTCCAACCCTAATCTTACCCGTACGTTCTACCGTCCCTTATATCTCAACCAACTTAGATCTGTCTTAGTATTCCACCAAAACTTCGCCTTATGACCGACTTTTCGTGTGCAAACGTCGGTGCAGCGGTGAACCACTCTTACATTCTCCCCTGTGGTTTGCCGCCTGCAAATTTTAGATCCACGAACCTTTTTTAACCCAGTCAACTTGCTTTGAATCGCTCCAGCTGTCCGAAGTCTCCTGTTTTTATCTTGAAAATCCATTTGACGCCGACTGCACGCCTCCCTTCAGGCATTTGTGCAAGTTTCCACGTCCCTCTTTCAGCTAGAGTGTCTAACTCCTCTTGAATGGCCGCTTTCCACGGCTCCTTTTGAGGGCCGGACAATGCTTCCTCAATTGTCATGGGCTCATGAGGTAGTTTGTACTTTTCCCTCATCGTTTTGGAGACGAGCGCTGTTGTCGTGGTGGCGAGTTGCAGATGCGTGTGGACATCCTTGCAGCACGTCAATAGAAGAAGTGCATATTTTGGATTTGGCTTCTTAGTCCGCTTCCCTCTGCCCAACTCGTCCCCAATGACCGATGCTTCACTTGCGCTATTGTCTGCTACCCCTTCTCCTTTCTCCACTGTCGTTTCCTCATCCTCTTTTCCAATCAGGATTGCGCCATCCTCTAGCAATGCATCAATCTCTTCTGCCCCTTTGTCATTGCGGCTGGTTTCAAACAGCTCCCATGGATCGCTGATTCCTTTGTTGCTCACTTGGTACTTGTCATTCTCTGCTTCATTCCCTTGCTGTCCAGCGTCTTCCTTAGCTGCCTCCACTGTTAATGGTGTAGATTCAGGCTCCGCGTCATTGTCTTTGAAGGTAGGTGTTGTCTCACGTGGCTCCCACTCCCAATCCATCATCATGTGAGGTTGGTCGTCGTTGTCCAGTTCATTGTCTTCGCTGGCTGTGCCCAATCCTTCATTGTTGTTGTCGTCCAGCAGTTCTTCCACTCGTTGGGGTGTAACGGGCACTGTTTCTATAGTTGCTGTCTTGTTTTGTCCCTTCCAGTCCATATGATTGAGGTCCTCGTAGAAAACAGCGTCTCTGGTTGCCGTTACCACTCCCGTCCTTGCGTCTTTGATTATCCACCCTTTGCTCTCCGGGCATATGCCCAAGTGAACACCCCAGTGGGCCCTTGGCAGAAGCTTGTGTTCAACTCCTGCTGGTGGTTTGTACTGCGTCATACAACCCCATACTCGAAGAAATTCCAGGTTCGGCTTTCTTTTGTAGAATGCCTCATGAGGAGTCGTGCTTGCAGCAAGTCCTTTCGTTGGTAGGCGATTTTTCAGCCAGCATGCCCTGCCCAAGGCATCCCCCCAGTATGCCAAGGGCAGTTTGCTTTCCGCCATCATACTCCTTACGCTATCAAGGAGTGTCCGATTCACCCTTTCCGCAACACTGTTGTGCTGTGGGGTATAAGGTATTGTTCGCTGCCGCCGATCCCTTTGGCTTTCAAGTAGTCAGTGAAGTCCTTATTGATGAACTCCCTTCCATTGTCAGTTCGGAGAACTTTCAACAGTTTGCCACTTTGTCGTTCAGCTTCCGCCAACCATTCGACGAAACTCGGGAACACGTGAGTCTTGTCTTTCAGTTCAGTCACCCAAGTATGACGTGTGCCAAGGTCCGTGAATGTAATGAAGTATTTGCTGCCATGCCGTGATGCCTCCCGCATAGGTCCGCACACGTCAGCAGCCACAATATCCATGGCACCATAGAGCTTCTTCGGTTCGTGCTTTGGATGTGGCGCCTTTATAGCTTTCCCCTCAATGCATGAGCTGCATTTCATCTTGTTCTCCTCCCCGACTTTGAGCTTAACCCCGGCTGCCATGTTTTTTGTCATCATGTCATGGAGGCGTTGTATGCTGGCATGTCCCATCCTTTTGTGCAGTAAGCTGATGTCAATTGCTTCCACTGCTGCTGCCATGGGGAAGAGCGGTTGCTGCAGCTCCTTTACTGGTATCTGCTCCAACATGGTGCATAACTCCTCTCGCGCTCTCTTCCCTTCCTCAGATTCAAGCTGGTAGGTAACTCTCTCTGCAGCCATGTCCTTCTCCAGCAGCTTCATTTCGTAGAGTCCATGCTTCCGTGCGCCTTCTGCAACCAGTTTCCAGTCAGGGCTGAAAACCAAAAGTTTGCCGTTATCGCTGTAGGTCTTGTAGCCGCTGCTGTCTAGTTGGGTCTGACTGATTAAGTTGAGTGACAGCCTTTCCACGAGAAGAACGTTGTCCATCTTCACCTCTCCATATGGGCTCTGTAATATCAGGTCTCCTTCGCCTTTTACTGAGAGCTTTCCTTCATCTCCAAGTAGGACATATGGGACGCTTGAGTCGCGGTAGTTCAGCAACCAGTCCACCCGGTGCGTCATGTGTTGTGTGCAGCCAGAATCCATAAACCATGTTGTTTCCTTGCAATCCTTTGCCAGCATGCACATCTTGGAGGCCCGGGCGATATTTGCCTTGTGGGTACCTCCCAAGATGGCGTCTTCTTCAGCTTTTTATGCCACAGTTGCTGTTGCTTGAGCAGGGGCTGCCAAGGCAGCTGTCTGCCTCTGCTGTTGCTGCTGCCCTCCCTTGTAATTCTTGCCGGCAGGGTTGTAGTAGCAGTCGCAGGCCTTGTGTCCGTATTTTCCGCAATGGTTGCAGTTTCCGCTGAATCCGCCTCTTGTTTTGTATCCTTCTCCGCTTGTCCTTTCGCCGTATTGCTGTCTGGCTGCTCCTCTGCCCTTGTAGTTTCTTCCCTTTGGGTTGTTGAAGTAGTCAATTGCTTTGTGACCTTTCTTGCCACAGTGGTAGCAGGTCCCAACTCCTCTTAGTGCTGCTGCTGCATTCAACATTGCAGGTTTTTCGAGCTCCACATCAGCTGCCATTGCTTCCCTCCGTTTGAGGTCAGACCGAACCAGCTCCAGCGCTTGAAGAATCTCAAGCAGCTTGGTCATATTTGCAGGTGTGTTGCAGGTAAGAATTCCAATTTCAGCCGTCCACTCCTTCGGTAAGCCGCTGATTATATAGCCCATCATGTGTTTCTCCAATTCTGGTGCTCCCATAGCTGTCAAATCATCATTGTAGCCTTTTGCACGATTGACATAGTCGATAATCTTCTCTGATGGCTCCATGGTCAGCAGCAGCAGCTTCTTTCTCACTGCTGTCAAGTTCGTGTCGGTCCGTCCGAGGTAGACTGCTTCCATGTAGTCCCATGCGCGCTGTGCTGAATTCATCTCCCCTGCAAATTGGTCCAGCCCCACAGCGATGGAATCTGAAACCGAGTGGCATAATTGAAAGAATGCCTGAAGACTCTTCCGTTTGTATGCCCCCTTTTCTTGTACCGTTGCGCTTGCAGGTGGAGGAACTCCTTCCTCTGTCTCCTCATCAGGATAGTAGAGTGGCCAGAGCTCCACCTCTCTCGCACGCCGGATAAACTTGAGGCGCCATGTCGAGCAGTTAACCCCACTGAAACGCTGTGCCTCACTTAGGCCAATTGTTGGTTTGGCCACTATGTGCCCTTGCGTTAGGGCATCCAAGAGGGCTTGCACTTGAGTGCCTCCTGCACTCACAGAAGAGCCTGAACTTGCCTCACCATGCTCGTTAGGCATGATGCAGGAATTTATCTAGCCCTCCTTGAGGACTTAGTGAAACGGGGCTCTGATACCACCTGTTGGACTTGGGGCGATAGTTTCTGGCTATTCGCTAGGTCCCCAAGAACACAGCGGAAACTCCAAACTGGATCTACAAAAGTGTAGGAGAGCTGGGTGCTCTTCAGCTTTAGAGTTCAAACAGTGAATTGCACTCCAAAAAGTGGTTACAGACGAAAAACAGAACAAGAACATATAAGCATGCAGAAATGTAAAGGGCGACTCGTGTAACGCGTCGCGTGCGTTTCATCGAATCTTGGTCGGAACCGATTTCTGTAACCGACACTGTCGGTGACACCGACCCTGTGACATTCCGCCGAATACGACCTGAGTTTGGTTGGACATTTCTGGCTGTACTGAACTCTCTCGACGTTCTCTCTTCCCTGGTTCCTCCGTCCATCTGTTTTTTCTCCATCTTCCAACCCTAATCTTACCCGTACGTTCTACCGTCCCTTATATCTCAACCAACTTAGATCTGTCTTAGTATTCCACCAAAACTTCGCCTTATGACCGACTTTTCGTGTGCAAACGTCGGTGCAGCGGTGAACCACTCTTACATCCTCTCATCTCCACCCATCCCATCCCATCTCCTCTCATCTCCACCCATCCCGTCCTATCTCCACCCATCTCCACCCATCCCATCCCATCTCCTCTCATCTCCACCCATCCCGTCCTATCTCCTCTCATCTTCACCCATCCCGTCCCTTCTCCTCTCATCTGCACCCATCCAGTCCTATCTCCTCTCAGCTCCACCCATCTCGTCCTATCTCCCCTCATCTCCACCCATCCCATCCCATCTCCTCCCATCTCCACCTATCCCGTCCTATCTCCTCTCATCTCCACCCATCCCGTCCTATCTCCTCTCATCTCCACCCATCCCATCCCATCACCTCCCATCTCCACCCATCCCGTCCTATCTCCTCCCATCTCCACCCATCCCATCCCATCTCCTCCCATCTCCACCCATCCCATCCCATCTCCTCCCATCTCCACCCATCCCATCCTATCTCCTCCCATCTCCACTCATCCCGTCCTATCTCCTCTCATCTTCACCCATCCCGTCCCTTCTCCTCTCATCTCCACCCATCCAGTCCTATCTCCTCTCATCTCCACCCATCCCGTCCTATCTCCTCTCATCTCCACCCATCCCGTCCTATCTCCTCTCATCTCCACCCATCCCGCCCTATCTCCTCTCATCTCCATCCATCCCGCCCTATCTCCTCCCATCTCCACCCATCCCGTCCTATCGCCTCCCATCTCCACCCACCCCGTCCTATCTCCTCTCATCTCAACCCATCCCGTCCTATCTCCTCTCATCTCCACCCATCCCATCCCATCTCCTCCCATCTCCACCCATCCCGTCCTATCTCCTCTCATCTCCACCCATCCCGTCCTATCTCCTCTCATCTCCACCCATCCCATCCCATCTCCTCCCATCTCCACCCATCCCATCACATCTCCTCCCATCTCCACTTAACCCGTCCTATCTCCTCTCATCTCCACCCATCCCGTCCTATCTCCTCTCATCTCCACCCATCCCATCCCATCTCCTCCCATCTCCACCCATCCCGTCCTATCTCCTCCCATCTCCACCCATCCCGTCCTGTCTCCTCTCATCTCCACCCATCCCATCCCATCTCCTCCCATCTCCACCCATCCCGTCCCATCTCCTCCCATCTCCACCCATCCCGTCCTATCTCCTCTCATCTCCACCCATCCCATCCCATCTCCTCCCATCTCCACCCATCCCGTCCTATCTCCTCCCATGTCCACTCATCCTGTCCTATCTCCTCTCATCTCCACCCATCCCGTCCTATCTCCTCTCATCTCCGCCCATCTCATCCCATCTCCTCTCATCTCCACCCATCCCGTCCTATCTCCTCTCATCTCCACCCATCCCATCCCATCTCCTCCCATCTCCACCCATCCCGTCCTATCTCCTCTCATCTTCACCCATCCCGTCCCTTCTCCTCTCATCTCCACCCATCCAGTCCTATCTCCTCTCATCTCCACCCATCCCGTCCTATCTCCTCTCATCTCCACCCATCCCATCCCATCTCCTTCCATCTCCACCCATCCCGTCCTATCTCCTCTCATCTCCACCCATCCCGTCCTATCTCCTCTCATCTCCATCCATCCCGTCCGATCTCCTCCCATCTCCACCCATCCCGTCCTATCACCTCCCATCTCCACCCATCCAGTCCTATCTCCTCTCATCTCCACCCATCTCGTCCTATCTCTTCTCATCTCCACCCATCCCATCCCATCTCCTCCCATCTCCACCCATCCCGTCCCATCTCCTCTCATCTCCACCCATCCCGTCCTATCTCCTCTTATCTCCACCCATCCCATCCCATCTCCTCTCATCTCCACCCATCCCATCCCATCTCCTCCCATCTCCACCCATCCCATCCCATCTCCTCTCATCTCCACTCATCCCGTCCTATCTCCTCTCATCTCCACCCATCCCGTCCTATCTCCTCTCATCTCCACCCATCCCATCCCATCTCCTCTCATCTCCACCCATCCCGTCCCATCTCCACCCATCTCCACCCATCCCATCCCATCTCCTCTCATCTCCACCCATCCCGTCCTATCTCCTCTCATCTTCACCCATCCCATCCCATCTCCTCCCACCTCCACCCACCTCCACTCATTTCCTCCTATCCCATCCTAACTCCTCCCTCCTCCCAACCCGTCCTATCCCCATGCATATCCTCCCATCTGTCCCATATTATCCCCATGCATATTCTCCCATCTGAGGCGCTGCTCATGTGCCGGCATGGAAACAGGAACGGGTCAAGGGTGCCAGTGGTTGGGGCCGTTTGTCAACAAGTGAGGCACCTAGAGATAAATAGCAGCCTGAGTGATACCGTCACAGGAACTTAGATAGCCATAGGAAGAGAGAGGGAAACTCCCTCTGATACACAGATGGCTACATAATGTTAACGTAGAAACGAATGATTACTAGAGGTGGAAACCTAGAACAAATACTAGTTGGTTGTACTCACTAGAAGCATACCTCAGTCTAGCCTATAACTTCTACATAGATAATATGTATAAGTTGACACACCCCCTAGGCTAGACAAGGGGTGAAACTAAACAAGAAGCAAACAGCTCAGGGCGGCACTACTAGTCCAACCACTGAGGCAGGGGTCTGGAGACCAGTCAGCAAGAATACAACCAAAACTGAAGCAAGCCAGGGTGGCACTACTAGTCCAGCCACTGGAGGTAAGGCCACAAGGCCAGTCTGACAAGCATATATAATAGAGAGTACACAATCAGGATCCTAACAGGGGAGCAGCTATAGGAACAAGACCAAGCTGTACACAGTGCCGCTGATGATCTTTAGGCGCAAGCGCCTTAGTAAAGATATCAGCTGTGTTGGCACCTGTGGCCAAGTGAACTACGCGGGCCTGGCGGCGCTGCTGTAGCTCGCGCAGGAGGAAGTACCGCAGCTGGATATGCTTCGCTCTGCCCTCAAGCCGAGGCTCCTGACACAGGAGTATCATGGCCCTGTTGTCAGCGTACAGGACCGGGGCAGAGCTAGGCTGCTCACCTAAGTCTGTGAGCAAGAAGGTCAGCCAGCGGAGCTCCTGTGCCGCCATGGCACCAGCGTAGATCTCAGCCTCACAGCTAGACTGAGCCACAGACGACGAGCGAGTGGATCTCCAAGAGATAGCACCCGAACCAAGGCTGAAACAGTAGCCCTGCGACGACCTGAGCGTCTCAGCGTCGTCTGCCCAAGAAGCGTCTGTGTGCCCAGTAAGGACCACTGGCCTGCGTCCTCCTAGCACTAACCCCATGCCTGATGTACTAGCAAGATAACGCAAAACCCTCTTAGCGGCAGACCAGTGCTGAGGTCGGTGTCTGCCTGTAGCCACAAAGCGAGCCAGGATGCTGAGAGGGTATGCGAGATCTGGGCGAGTGCAAGTCATCAGGTACATGAGGCAACCCACCAGCTCTGCGTAGGGGCCACTGGGCTCTACTGGCTCCTCAGGAACGGGAGCAGAGAGCCCATGGTCTACGGGTAGAGGTGTGGGCTGTGCGGAGGAGAACTGAAGACCGAACCTCTGAAGGACCTGACGCACCAAGTGTGACTGGGTCAGAGTGATGGTGCGTGCTGCTCTGTCCCTAGAGATCTGCAGGCCAAGATAGCGACGCAGCTCTCCAAGGTCAGTGCAGGTGTGTCTCTTCAGCAGCTCAGCCTTCACAGAGGCCAGTGCGTCCCTGTCAGGAGTAGCGAAGACCAGGTCGTCTACGTAGACAAGGATGTAGAACGGAGTCTGGCCGGAACGCACAAACAGTGAAGGGTCAGCAGAGGACGGAAAGAACTGCAGGTCTGCTAACGTGGCACGTAGCGTGTCGTGCCACTCGCGGGGAGCCTGACGCAGGCCGTAGACCGGGCGCCTGAGAAGCCACTGGGTCCCAGGAGGGAAGGTACCAGTGAAGCCCTGTGGTCGGCGCAGGTAGACCTGCTCGTGTAGGCTGCCCTGAAGAAAGGCAGTAGAGAAGTCGAGAGAGTGAAGCTCGTAGTCACGCTGTGCTGCTACGTGTAGCAGCGCCCGAAGAGTGGTCATCTTCGGGGTCGGGGCGAAGGTCTGGAAGAAGTCAACCCCCTCGCGCTGACTGAAACCTCTGGCCACGTAGCGCGCCTTGAAGACAGGCGGCTCTCCAGGGGGGCGCTTCACCTTGAAGAGCCACCGACCATCGACTACGTTCACCCCAGGCGGGGGAACTGCGTCGACGTAAGTGCCGGTGGATCTCCAAGATGCCATCTCCTGCTCCATGGCAGCTATCCACTGAGAGGCCCAAGGTCCCGAGGTGGCCTCAGCGTAGGTGCGAGGGGTCGGGATGTCGAAGGCGTCTGGGTCACCCTCAGGGACTAACAGCATGGAGCAGAGATGGGGAGCAGCCTCGGAAAGGAAAGCCAGCTCGTACTGCCTGTCCTCTAGGACGTCACTGCCAAGGGCAGGAGCACCCCCGACGGACAGAGGACGGGCAGGGTCAGAGACCAGAGCGGTAGCGTAGTCAAGGCGGCGGGTAGAAGCGAAGTCAGCGACAGCAGCGACAAGCGCGTCAAGGCGCGAGACAGGAACAGCAGGGTCGGTAACAAGAGAGGCAAGGACCCGAGGGACAAGGGGACGAGCAGCACGGAGGTAGTCAGAGAACGGAGGAGGTGCAACAGCAAGGGACGAGGGAGGAGGGGACGGGAAGAGGGGAGGACGAGACGAGTGGGAACGGAGCAACATAGGGTGGGTGGGCAGGACAGGAGAGACGGGACGAGCACGGGAGGGACGGCGAGCCCAAACGTGAGACGGAGGGGTAGGGTCAGGGGACAGCGGAGGAGACACAGGAGGGGAACGAGGAGGAAGACGGGCCGGAGACGAGTCTGGCGGCGGGAACACAGGACCGTAGACAGGGAGGTCAGGAGGCGGTGGGGGAGACACCGGCGCGCGGTCCGGGGAGGGAAGGCCGAGCAGGCGGAGAGCGGAAACCGGCGGCGACGGCTGCTGTGGCGGCGACGACGGCTGGGCCGGAACTCTCGGACCAGCAGAGGCAGAACGACCGTCGGCAGAACACTCAACAGCAGCACCCCCAGAACCAACACCCCAAGAGCGAGAACCCCCTCCAACACCAGCGGCACCCCCAGAAGCCGCAGGACGAACACCCTCCTCCACACCAGCACCCCCAGGGGCCGAGAGCAGCGGCGGCAGTGGCGGCGACAGCGGCGACGGCTGCGGCGGCGACGGCGACGGCGGCGGCAGCGGGGTCGGCGACTGCGACAGTGGGGGCGGAGGCACTGGGGAAGGGGGACGCGGCAAGGACGGACCGGGGGTACCACCAGAGTCAGCAGACTCCTCAACGGGGACAACCGACGGGAGGGGAGTGACGTGGGAGACACCAGACGGGGCAGGACGAGGCGGGAGAGGGGCAGGGGCTACCGGGGGAGAGGGAGCAAGGAAAAGGGGGGGGGCAACTGGGAGACCTCGGTGAGGGAAGCGGCGGTAGAAGGAGACGGACTCGTCAAAGGTGACGTCACGAGAGTGGAGGAAGCGGTGAGACGGCGGGTGGTAGAAAAGCCAGTCAGACGAGTCCAGGGGGAAACCGAGGAAGACACAGGGGACAGTGCGGGCAGTGAGCTTGTCCGTGCCAGAGGCACGAACGTGAGCAAGGCAGCCCCAGACGTGGAACGCAGACGCGTCACCGGGGGACCCGGTCCAAAGGAGGGTCGGTGAAACCTGCGGCCGCTGGGAGCGTGGCCACAGGTTAAGCTGGTGAGCCGCGTAGCGAACAGCGAACGGCCACAGAAAATGGGGGGCATCGGCATGGATCATGGAGGTACGAGCGACCTCCATGACCAAGCCGATGCGGCGCTCAGCAACCCCATTCTGCTGTGGCGAGTCCGGCAACGTGTACGACTGGGTGATGCCCTCCGCACGACAGAATTGTCCAAGCCGACCAGAGGCGAACTCGCCGCCACGGTCGGAGTGGAGACACAACACGGGGAGACCGCGGTGGAGACGCGCAGCTACAACCCACGGGAGAAGAACGTCGGGCACGTCGGCCTTCCGCTCCAGGGGAAACACCGTGGTGTAGCGCGTGTAGTCGTCAACGAGCACAAGGAAGTAGCGCTCACCGCGCGGTCCGGGGACGGGGGCAGGGCCCCAAACGTCCAAGTGCAGGGTCTGAAGGGGGGCAGTAGCAGGACGCAGCGAGGAG